AATTTGTGCACTTCTATGAGGGCAGTTTTGAATGATCTCTGCAAAACACAAACTTATTTTTAAACTGTACACACACACACACACCCACACACACACACACACACACACACACATATATATATATATATATATATATATATATATATATATATATATATATATATATATATAAAGCCCAGTTAAAATCTTTATTCTATTTGTAAAAGCACAAAAAGTACATTCAATGCTCCTTTTTAGCTTTTGGCCCATACTAGAAATAAACAAAAAAAAAAAAGGAGCCTCAGTCAAAACTGGACCGGAATGTTCTGCACTCATTTTAGCTTCTTTAAAGCTGACATTGTGATTTGTGAAACCTGTAGTCTGATTGTTAAAACCAGATTTCCTTTTACTTGTCTTATCTTATTATTTCTCACCTGATATAAATCGTCTCATCCTGAGAGCTAGTTGCACTCTTACCCTCCTCCTACTAACTGTGTAGTGGGTAGAGACCTTATTCCTGCAGTACCTTCACTGCAAGGCCTCAGAAGCAAACCTTTGTTCACTCTCTGGTGACTGTAGGTGTTTTAGAGCAAACAGGCAGCTGTGAAGTTGATTCATTTGATGACAATACTCAGTCAAAGCCTTGCCAAGAAAAACAGTTGCCTCTCACGCCCCCGTCTTACCTAAAATTAGTCATTGTCGTATGACCTACTGGAGGAAGGATGATAAAGTCCCTCTCCATTGTCTGAAATACCACAGCTGTCGCACACATTACTCAGATGACTGACAGCTGCAATTGCCCAGCCAAGCAGGAAGCCAGGCGGGTGTTGACAGAACCCTGAGTAGCTGTGATGATACTGCAGGGTGTGAAGATGTTGCTGTTACAGCATCAACGCTTTATGATTGACTCCTGAGTTTTTTGTTTTTTTTCTTGCAGTAAAATCTTATGGTCTTTTTTTCTTCATGTGTCATAAACGACCTCCTTTACATTTAATTTAAAATTACATTTTTAACAGAAGGCAGCATCAGTCCTTCTGTTTCACAAGAAAAAAATGCAGTCTTTAAATTATTGACATTGTTTGTGGAAGTAGTAAATTTGATTAGTTTTAATCCCTTAACTGTTGCCCTGAAAATGTTTACATCTCATCCATGGAGTCAAAGAGGAATCCGCTGACCTCCTGACGGGTCACTTATATGAAACATAAGGTTATGATTAATTCAGTTTTCTGCTGTGCTTTTAATAGAATATTGAAGTTTGATTTTCTTGGATGTTGAGTTTAAATGATTATTAAGACAGAGTTATTAGGCAGCTTTATTTTAACAGATTAACTAAATGGTGTTCATTTTAGATTTACAGTGACATATACATTTTATTTTATGAAGAATGTGATTTGCAAAATATTTTTATTGTTGAAAGCAAGGTAAAAAAAATCAAGACGTTGGAAAAAAGTTGGATTTATTTTTCTGTTTTGCACATTAAGACAATAACGTAACTGGTTAAACATTTAGTCATTTTTTCCTAATTCAAATGAACTGATCAAAATATTTAGGTTTTGTCAACTAAATTGACAATAGATTTAGTCGATTCAAATTGTATTATAACTCAACAATAACAATTCTTATTAGATTATGACTAAAATGAAATGACATTGCTGGTTTGCAGCCTCTGCTTCCTGTTTCTTACAGTCCTGTGTAGCATCAACATCTGATGGAATCACGCTGTGATTCGCTCCAAACCATTAGATGGAAATGTCCGATTTCCATCTATTTTAATTTTAATTTTAATTATTATTATTTATTTTTTTTTTGCAACATTTTAAAAGTTTGCTTAAAATTTCCACAACAATTGAATAGCTACTGGAACATTTAATTCTGCAGAATATTTTGCAGAATATTCTGCAGAATATATTCTGAAAAATATTGCAGAATATATTTTGCTTGATATTCTGCAGAATATTTAGCTAAATAAGCTACTTGTCTCACTCTGTGTGACGCATTACGATCATGTTTGCATGAGAAACATGTTTAGGGTATTTTTTCTATTATTTCATAATTGTGCATAGATATGAAAAGCTAGTTTAGAGTTCAAATTAAATCGGAAATTTTGAGGGGTGTCGGTACTTTTGCAACGCTCCGGAGATTAAATTTAGCCTTTTGAACATTTTTTTTTCAATTTATTGGTTAACCAACATTATTTAATGTGGGTGTTTTGTTTTCCTTTGGGCACTTCGACTGTGAATAAAACATCTTTTTATTCAGCTTGACAGCTCTCACAAACAACTGAGCTGTAGTTAATTTACTGTAGGTTTTTTGTAAAATGTCTCATTAAGTCCATGTCCATTTTAGGTTTTTGCTGACGAATGTCTCTCATTTTATCTGCTTCTTTGTGTCAATTGACAAATGACACTTTCATTGTCTGTGCGGCAAATTGGCAACAGATCTCAGAGCGGCAAAACGCTTCACTTCCACTGGAATAAATCTGGTGGAAGGAAAAGACCTGATGCAATGCAGAGGAATTCTTAGACGGCCTGAAATTTAAAACCATGAATAATTCATTTTTTTTGCCACTTTAATGAAACTGAAAAAGGGTTTCCCTATCATTCATAATCTGCACAGCTGGTGTAATGCGACTCTCTTGCGGTGGGCACTTTCAGTCGTTGGGTTTCTGTGACACCTGAGCACATGGATGAGGGAGGGGTGTGGATACATTCTTGATGTCATGAGGAAGATGGGAGATCAATCTGAAACTTTTCCCAACACCTCTGGTACTTCTTCTCAGGATGAAAAGTGCACATTCAGAATGACAGTCCTGAAGCTACGGTTTGGTAAATGGTGAGATCCTTTATTCAAGCTCCATGCAACAATCTGGCCTGAGGAGGCCGAGCAGAGCGAACCCCTCATGTTGCTTTTACTGAAAATGGGGACCGCCAGTTGAGACTCCCCAGGTCCTGTCATTTCGGAGACGAGTCAGGCAAAACGGGGCTAAAACACTGAATCCCTTTGGGTTCTTGGTGTAAATGAACATCTCTTGTTGCTCCTGAGTAAAATGTCTTTTTTTTTTATATGTGATATATGTCGCATTTTTATATCAACTGAAGTTAACATAGTTAATTGATTGAGATATAAAATGGTATTATGTGCCTGGAAAACAAATCATGCTGCCCCTTTAATACTTTCAGTTTCTGGGCTTCTATTGCTATTTGGCACATAGTTTCCAGTCTTTAGAATTTAGTCCAGCTATCATATTGGTATCAAAAAAGACAAACAACATTAAGGTTTTACAATTACAGCAGTAGCTTTTTGTATGCAGTAGAAGTATTCCATGAAATTTAGTCGAATAGCCTTGATGTGTCAAATTAATTCTCTTCAAAAATGAGAGCATTAGTAGTTAAAAGCATATTACAGGAAAGCTTTTTCCAATAAATTCTGTATTTAATTCCAATATATTTCATCTGGCTAAGTTTCCTCTCTTTAGACAAGTTCCAAATAGAAGCTGTTTCTTGTTGTACTCAAGTATAGTTCATGTTTAACAGTAGCAGTCTGCTTTCCCTTTTCACAAAGAAAATAAGTATTGGTGTGTCATGTTTAATTTTTTTTCATGTTCTCTGTGTTCAGAGCTTTTATTCACTCGCACAACCACTCCACTCTTTTGTGATAGCATTAATTGAGTCTGTCTTGCAGAAAACCAAATTAGAATGAGTGAATAGCCTCTGGTGTTAGGTGGAGAAATCCAGGTTATTATGATTAGTTTTCTTCTGTGTTTGGAATTGCTTGAGTTAGTAGAGTTATTTATATCCTCAGAGTACTCTGCGTGTCAACACAATGACATCTCTCACTAAAGCACATTTTGTTTTTTTCTGAAATTTGTTGATATTCTGTATTCAAAGTGCACATTCTTCATTTTGTTCATTTTCTCTGACCTATCCAAGGTCAGGCCCTGAAGATGTTAGGCCCAGAAGACACATCCAGGAGTCTTCCTCTCCAGCAAAACTTTACATCCTAAGCCGTTTTCAGACCAAGCTCATGTAAAGTCCCTCTGAGTTCAGGGGGACCAGGTGTGCCGGAAGCATTTCAATCAGGTGGCTGAAGCAGATTTACAAAATGGAGAAATAGGGTTTGCTATGTGCTATGCTATTGTTTTTGTTATGTGCTCATGCAAATCCTGCAGCCATGTGTTCTGCACTGTACTCTTTCACATTTGCTGTGTACTTCAAACCTTCGTTCCCGAAAACTACTACCCTGAGACCTGGTTTGAAAAGGTTCTGGTGTGAGAGTCGCTGGCCATTGAAGACATGTAAACAACAGTGTTGCAGGTTTCTGTGTTTCTAGATTTGTTTTTAGTCTTTGACTAAGGTTTCACTTTGCTGATGCAAGGTGTCATTTTGGGCACATTTTGCTGGTTAGTGTCATTCACCTGCTATTTACATAGTCACCAATGTTCTCCTAATCACTGCATCAACACCTAAGTTCCAGATACTATTTCTGCAAAAACTATCACCCAATCGGGTGAACATTGCTAATTTGACTATGTATTTTTCAAGGCCATGGGTTCCTGACCAAACAGTCAAGATTCAGATGACATTCATCTCACCCATCCTGTCCAAATGAGACCCTCCTCAGCTTTGGTCTTTAAACCAGCTTCCCTACAAATCAACTCAAGAAAAATTCCAGATGACTTGGGTCAGACCAACTTCATAGATGGTCTGCAACACTTTAATTACATTAGTCCAGCGGTGTGACTGTAGTCCGTTCTAAATCACACGGAAGGAATGTGCATCCCGTAGCGCCTGCAGGCTTCTAATACACTCAGGGAAACTCTGAGAGAACATCTTGCCATGGGAAACCCTCTTTGTGCTGAAAACCCAAACCTAGCACCGAGAATCACCCAGATATGAGTCACAATTAGGAACTCTTGTGCTACTTACTGGCTGCGATCTTCCTTTTATCAGGCAGTTTTAAGACGTATCAAGCAGTTTTTTCCTCACAAATTTCTCAATATTTTCTCCCTCTTTCTCTTCTAGCTTGCCAAAGTAGTGACTGTGTCTTGGCTGTGAAGGAAAGAGTGAGAAGGTGCAGACCCCACTTACTCAGTGAGTACTCAATCAGTGAGAAACATGCTTGTTGTTGGCCTTTGTGATTTATTGCCTGTTATGAATGACCGCGACCAGCAGCTGTTTTTTCAGGTAGGGGGCCATGACAGCACACGGTTCCTTGGGAATGTGTGTCTGAACAGATGTCTGTGGTCTCTTCTATGTATTCCAAAATGATTGTTTCTGAAGTCAATGTTCAAATCAGTTTCACAATATGAAAATTATATTGCTTTAATTTATACTATTGTGTATAAATTAAATTACAACTCAGTGTTTCGTCCATTTTTCAGTTTGTTCCATAGTTTGTTTCTCCGTGTTTAGTTCTAGTTTTAAACACTAAGGCATGATCTGCATGCTTATGCTGATATAGTCCCAATAACATTCACATCATTTCCAAGCTTTTTGTAGAATATATTCTCACTCAGGGAAGTGGAGATGAACTGTTTGAGACATCTGGGAACTAATCCCTGAGAAACTGATTACTAACTGAGGTTGCTTATCTCCTCTTTCTAAAGGATTTCTGAGTATTTGCGAGTAAAATGTGTTTGTCTGTTTTGAGAAGCAGTTTTGTTGAAGAAGTAAGTAATTAACTGTCCTTCTGGTTTTTCTCTATTGTATTCTCATGTGACAGCATGTGACAGTTTAGCACCTAAGCTGCAGCATCTTTTGCCCCCCTGGGACTGACAGGATCTCAGATGAACTGTAATCCTAGATGAGGAAGCTCTTTGGTTTTTTGTTGGATATTTATAACTTACTGTCTTATAAATAAACAACGATGAAGCTGGATGGTTTCCTGGCTCCTGGAAGTACATTTAAGAAAAGGCACCGTCATGCTGATGTCTTTATGGAGCCCTGCACATTGCAGAAAGTACCTGTTATCCGAAGTGGGTAGGAGGGAGAGAGGGGTCTTAATTAATACTCAGAAGGCTGCAGAGAGATCATTTATATAGTCACATGTTTAACCAATTACTCAGAGTGTAATGAAGTGGAACATGGCTCAGCAGAGATCCCATGATACACTACAGTTCTCCTTTTTCTTCTTGTGCTAATTTGGCTGTTCCACAATGGAAAGCTAATCTCTTCGAAACGCTAAAGCAGGAATCTTTTTCCTTCAGATACCTGCATTTATCTAGGTCAGAATTCAACAGTGGTTCAGGAATTTCTACACTGATATTTCAGCATCGCCAGCTAGTCGGAGAAACGGAGGGGGGACACATTATGTACACTGTAAAAAAAAAAAATATATATATATATATATATATATATATATATATATATATATATATATATATATATATAAATTTTTTTCGTCTGCCTTCTTGTGCAAATATTGTGATACATTTCAAACAACACAAAAGTAATTTACAAGTAACTTTTCAGCAGGTGATGTGAGCTCGTGTTAAGTCAATCACTCCTTAATATTGATCAATAAAAAAGCTGATTTTTGTTCACTTATAACAAAAAAAAATTACATGTCATAAGTCGAAAAATTCTACCAGTGCAACGAGTTCTTTTGTCAACAATATTATATTATATTATATTATATATATATTTTTTACATATTTGTTGAAACTGTCACTGTCTTGACGATACGGTATAAGAAGGACAATCTGTGAAAAATCAGTATCCTCAGGCTTCTCCCAGCCCTCCCAACAACCAACCAGAACCCGGGGGGCACTGTCAGTCATTACATTGATCTGCAGACGGCAGCATGCATTTGTTTACTTCTCTAAACAACGTGCTGTTGTGTGATGTCAAAGTTCTGTTTCTGTAAGTGATCCATTTATTATTAAATGGGTCTTGAAGGGTTGAAGGCTTCGGCCGAGTTCTTCTGTCTGAGATTTTACTTGTAGTCCCAGATAATCTGATGCTCGTTTTTTGGCTGATATCAGATCAATTTCCAATATTAATATAGGATTTGTATATCTTGTTGAAAAGTTACCTATAATATAGTTTTTATTTTTTATTTTTAGAAGTGTAGTAAGAGCAAAAAATGGTTTGTGTTTTTTCAGTGCATGCCTGAGTGTCATTATTTGTGACAAAGAGTGTCCCATCCAGGCACCATTAGCCATCTCTCTTCCAACACCTTGAACTGAGCATCTGCCATGTGCAAAAATGAATAACCGTTGTTTCTTTTTAAGGGTATGTAACTTAATCACATGCAACTCCTTTAGGTTTCTGTACCATACAAAAAAAAAAAAAAAAAAAAAAAAAAAAAAAAACACGGAGCCTCTGGATTCTGAGGATCCATAGATCATGGTTGCAGAGTTGTTGTGCCCCTCACTTAAACATCTCCAGGAACTGTCGTCTCAGCGTTCTCAGCTGCTGTGCTCAGGGTACGTGCCTTCAGGAGCCGTAGCGTGACTTTGAATACAAATTGAAGCAGAGCCACATTTGTGTGGAAGTGGACAAAATAAAGTTGATTAGCTGGAAAGCGAGAGTGGACAGCTGACTGCGGCAAACACAAATGAACATCGATCACTGGGCAGAGCAGGTCTGCTAATGACTTAAAACACTGCAGGGGCTTGTTAGTCAACCTCTGTGATAGGCATTAATGCTTCCCGTAGCCTCGCAATGCACTAATGCTAACAATGTCATCATTCTTAATTGAGCAACCCAGTATTGGCAAATAATGGGCTTCTGATCCGCGCAGGATAGATGGATTATGGCGTATCATGAGGAAAGTGCTGTTCTGAAGGTGATAGGTGAAGGAGAGCTTTGGATGCACTGAGTGCTCTCAACATGGGCCACTCTTTAAAGCGCTCAGTTTTTACATCCCAATCAATCAGCAGTCAGTACTTTATACTTCACACATCAACAACTAGAAATTATTTTTAAACCAACAATACCACCAAAGTATTCATGCCCATTTAATGTGTCGGTCACTTTGTCTGAAATTACAACCACAAACGTCACTTTATTGAGAATTTAGGCAATAGAATAAAATAGTGAATTTAAATGTAGAAAAAGATGATAAAAGATGGACTGCAGCAGAGGCTCTTGATTTGCTTTATACATATACATATGTTGCTCATTTATCCCTGTCGAACCCTATCATTTATGCTGTTTATTGTTTTTATTTTGGTTTATTAATTTTATTATTTTGTTTTTTATTTCTCTGACTTTGGTAAGTTTTAACCCCACAATGGGCTTATAATTGCATATTACTGTGATGTAGTAATTACAAAAGAAGATTATTCAGACTGGTACATGACTGTATTTTCAAAGTGGAAAAGCTCAATAAATATATTTTGGTAAGAAAGAAAAGGGACTTTAATATAGCAATTTCTATTAATTAATTCCATAGATTTTTTTTTTTTTTTTTTTTTTTTTTTTTTTTTTTGCATAAAGTCCCGAGATGAAACTTTTGCATATGTTTCTGGTCCTCTCATAAATTTGATTCACAAGCAACATCTGCAAACAACAGTAATGGGAAAACAAAGCTGCTTTTCATGGCGCATTGGGTGTTAATTTTTGCTTCAAAAAATTATCTGTTTGGATGCTGAAAAAGACTATTGCTGTGTTTACATTTTTCTAAAAGGAGTTAATCTATCAGCGAAGCTATTCAAGCGTAAAAATTTCAGAACAAGAATCCAGAGAAACCCCCTATGAGTTTATAAATCACCGACTACTTATTCTTAAACATGGGAAAATAATGTGTAGTTTTATGCTTTTTTTTTTTTTTTGCTTTATTTCCTTTGGTTTATTTTGTTGTATTTCCTTCTAGTTCATGTGAGGCACTTTGGACTTCCTTGTTCCTGAAAAGGTGCTATATAAATAAAATCACCTCACTTTACCTTGAGGTAAATGCTAACATGTAGCACTAGCACAGATCACTAATCTCTGCATCCAAATTTCCAAAGAAGTTCCATGAATGATGATGAACCAAAATGAAGGTTCAATAAAAGATTAAAAACAATAAATATCTTTGTTGTTTAGGTCATATGCCCATTGATTCAGTCATTTAGCAGCAAAACACTTTCTTGAATTAAACATGTTTATTTTTTCCATTGCAAAATGTGTTTTAGTAAAAAAAGAAAAAGAAAGAATCAAACTGCTAATAAAAAATTGCTTTAATTCTTTTGTAAAACCATGCTTTGATGCAAGAGACAGTTTCATTCTAATATCTCTGCCAACTTTGTACATCTAGTACATCCCTTCTTCTTTACAGAAAAGCTCAATCTTAGTTCAGTTCCATGCAGAGTTCAAATGTGTGTTCACATGTACCCAAATGATCCGGCAAACAAACCACATGTGAAACAGGAAAATTCCATCATGTTGTAACATGTGAAACGTGATGTAGCATGCTTTCCTACATAGTAATAATAATAAACTGTATTTAAAAAATGACAATGTACAACTCAATCATAAAGGATCCGCTGTACCAAAACATAGCATAAGATAATTAGCATCTGAAAATGTCAGAAAACATAGACATGTAGAGTATTTTGGAATTGCATGATTTTTTTTTTCTTTATCTATAATCAGATGCTTTATGTTGATATGTTTTTTTTTTTTTTTTTGGCATGATGAGGAACATGTGACCCTTTTTTTCCTATGTCACGCCCCGTGGGGAGAAACTAGTATGAAATGTGATTTATTTATTTATTTATTTATTTATTTATTTATTTATTTATTTATTTTTCTCTATAAAGCTGTTCAGCTCCTTACAAATTGAATCGTTTCCATTCCCATCACTGATCTGTGTTTGGACCAGATTCCACATGAATCAGACGATTCCATCTGGTCGCTTCACTTTTCTGCCACTGAGCATAAACTCGACTTGTTTCTGCTCCTCTCCTCACATGCTGCTCAGTAAGTGCACCTGATTTTTAAAACTGATTTTGGCTTTATCTAGAGGTGGTTTGAAAAAAAAAAGTGAAATATTAGTGATTTAGAATTTCACAACAAAGGTCCAATATATAAGCATTTCATCTAACTCTATCAATCTGTTAGATTCATTTGGCATCTGCTTTCCTGGTTCCTTATTCAAAACAGGAACTACTTTAAAATCTCAAAATCAAGAAGATACGGCTGCAAATAGAGATTTTTTCACATCTTGGATCTCAAAGCAGAAAGAATACTATTTGATGGATACTTTTGCCTTTCTGGAACAGCAAAATATATCAACCAAGCCAACCTCATAAGCAAAGGCATCAACCAAAACTCCCATTATTGACCCGAGCTTCTGTGTTTGATTGAGACCTGTGACAGAGCAGAAGGCAGTGATGACAAACACAAAGTCAGAAGGTTAAAAAAATGGAAACCAAATCAATAATGATGGCTGACAAGATGGAGGTTGGATGATCTGCACTGATCTCTGTCTGAGTAAATAATGCAGAGCTCTGTAAATCTACTGCTCTTTGCCTGAAAAATGATTTTATTTTTGCTCCCCTCTTCAGTCATGATTACAGATTTCTCTGTTCTTGTTACAGACATCTGTCTGAGCCTTTTTACTCTGGGAATTGAGATTAGAAGATACAAACACAAGCAAAACTAAAAAATACCACATTACACAGTATATTGTTGAAAAATATTGGATCATTTGGCCTGTCGTCCCATTCTTAACTCCTTAACTCCAGTGGAACGCTGTGTTCCGTTTTTACTTACTTACAGACCCAAATCCTAAACTGTCTGTTCAGACAGTCTAAAGCAGTGGATCTTAACCTTTTTAGAGGTACTGAACCCACCAGGTTCATATGCACATTCTCTGAACCCTTCTTTAGTGATAAATAAAATATGATTTCTTTTTTTCCAAATTCAAGTCATAGGTAACTGCTTTTCTCACTGGTGCACAAAATGAGTCATGCATGAACATCACCTTGCTCAACACCAACACAGTGCATGAATTCACAGCAAATTACAGTATTACTGTATTCTGGCCCCCCGAAAATATTTTGGCTCCATAAAAGAATTTCAGCCCCCCAAAATATATTGTATATAGTTTTGCTATTTTACTAATTAAAAGTACATTTGAATTTTTTAAAAGAATTTTTAAAAAATTAAAAACTTATTTTTTTTAACATTTGAAATGTAATTTGTTTTTTGTTGTTTTGAATCCACAAAATACTTTTTACTTTTCCCCGTCTCCATGCAGCTTCAAGAAGTGTTCCCTTTGTTTTGCCGGTGTGAGACTAAAGTTGTTCAACTTGGCGTTGCATATCATGCAGATGGGACTCTTATTCCCATCCCGTTCCGTGATACACGTGAATCCATGTTGTACATATTTATCCAACCACTTTCTTTGTTTACTCAATATGTTTAGTATGGATTAAAGTACTGAGAAAGAAACCACATGACATGCAACTATGAGAAGAAGCAAGAAATTCAATCGAACCCAGGTTAATTTTTCACCATTCTTCTAAGGCAACATTTGTGAGGTCAGATACTAATGTTGGATGAGAAGTCCTGGGTTGTGATCTCCACTCTAATTCATCCCAAAGTAGGGATGCACAGAGCCACTGTAATGGAAAAATGTATAATGTGCTCCTCACTCCTGCTTTGGGTTATTTGATTAGTCTTATCATATGATTGGTCAACATGCTTTCACACAGGCCTCTATAGTGTTATGTAACAACAGGTCACAGGGCCGTGATCCTGGAGACTGAGTGTTATTTCTCCAAACTAGAACTTATCTGCCCCCTTTAGCGTTAAAGAACAATCCCACTTCCTTAACAATAGACAAATGACAAGACCATCTGTGTTGGGCTCCATAGAATCCCTGCTATATAACCATCAAGGATTAACACCTATAGTCCAATCAAGTCTCTCTTCTCTGACCAGAACCTATCAAAAGCCAAATCCAGTGTTAGTCAGAGCAGACTTGACAAACTCCTTTGATTTTGCATTTCTGTTCTCACTTTGCAACTTTTTTTAATACAATTTCTTTCTACTTCTCATCCAGACTCTTGTTAAAGTAATTTTTTCCACAACACCGACCAATAAGTCTGCCCCAATTTTCTAATTGTGTGAGCTTAATGATTGGCCGATACTTTGAAGCTGATCTTATCAACCTCAGCAAAGGTCTGACAACCAGCCGCTGTCCTCTCCTGTGACAAAGGTTTGACGGACAGAGCAGTCCACCAGGTCATGTCTGCATGTTTGTAGTTAACAATACTCACCCCACTCAACTCAGCAATTTTCTTGCTATATTTAGCAAAACATTTCAGCCAAAAACAATTGGTATTAGCCAAAATCGGAATCGGCAGATCGGACTCTTTCTGAATAATACATGTTTGGATCTGGAAAGTTCTGCTCACTATGGATGTGAAACATAGTCGGTTGATTGCTGAAAAAAAAAAAAAGTAAAGAAAACAAAAAACATAATAAATTCAAACCAAATCTCAATTTCGATACTCTGATTGGTCAAATATGTAATCGCCAAATGACTCAGAAAGTGGGTCTAGCTTTCACTTTCAGTTTTTAAGCAATTTTTAAACGCATTCATCCCGAGAAAGCAAGGCAATGCAATCATTGCCCTCAGTTACTGCATAATTGAACATGTAAAGACTCAGAGAGGGAGTTATTGGTGCATTAGATACATGTCACAAATATTTGCTAATCTGTCATTAATGTTAATAATTCATATATTTTTTAGATGGTGGAAGGAACAAATGCTTCCTCATACAAACGTAGGTTGAGATTTTTGTGATGGTAGTTAAAGTGCATCCTATTATTTTGAAAATAACATGTTTGCTATGAAGCCAGACCTGCTGATTCAGCCCTTGTTGTCAGCAGCAGTTCTTGGAAACTTTCAGTAATCAAAATGAATGTTCATGCTGGAGCTGGAGTTTAACATTATAACTCAGATTCTAAGACTCACTGCAGTCACCATCCTTAAGATTAAGTTTGACTCATGATTAACTTTGCAATGTTGAAAATGTTTTATACTGTTTAATCTTCTCTGTAATTAGTATTTAAAACCTGCCAAAGAACTTGTCTTCATTTTTTTTTAAGTTTCTGTATTTTTCTGTAGTAATTTGGCAGCTCTCCTGTTATAGAAACTCATGTAGACTTCTGATGCCTAATTTTGCAAATGTTTCATTTTGTCATTCTGAAATAAATAGCTGTTTTTTTTTTTTTTTTTTTTTTGCCTTCATTAGTTTGAATCCACCATCAAAGTATTTGATCACTGACCGTATCTGATGTGTTTGTGGGAGGAACGAAAACTAAGTTGTGCATTCCTACACAGGATTCATAACATATAAATAATGCAACACACTTCTTGGAGTTGGGTCCATTTTTACCTGATGCAAAGCTTTTGTTTCAATAATTAGCTCATCGATTTGAGAAGCTTTTAAAAAATTTACTCAAAAGGTTTGCATACAGTGTTGTAAATATAATCACAGCCTTTTTTTTTTCTTAATTTTGGTATGTAAAATCAAAGAAATTTACAGGAATTTTATATGATGCATCAAAATCATATCTGTTCATCTTTGGTGGATAATTTCCAATCCCTAGTTTCTGTTCAGGTTTGACCTGTTGATGCCAATAAGGTAATCCAGAATCTTCTGTAAGAGAGAATTTGCAATCGAAATTGGCAGACCTATTCATTCAAACAGCAATCACTAATCACAATGACATAGTCACTTTAAATGGGAGATGGCTTTCAATTTTTTTTTGACAAAACATAAGCTGTTTTGGACCAAAACACATGTAAGTTGCAGGACACCAGCCCTCGAGACCTGGATTTGAGGACCTCTGCTTTGTAATATTGACAATTATGTAGAAAATGAAATCAAAATATCAGCCCTTTAGTTTAAACTTAAATGTTAGGTCATATCATGTTAGCTTGGTTCAGTTTATTCAACATGTATTTACCTCAATATTTCAGGAATTGACTACATCAGACACACGTGGAAGAGCCTGCTTTACATTGATCCAACCAATCCAGTTCACCTGATGATGATGATGTCACTTCTTCTCTGCTCTGCAGTCGTCTCAAGGATGAGATGGATACTTGGCCAGTTCAACTGATAACATGAACTTTGTGAAATCATTCCTAGTGAATGATTATATAGATGGGTTGGTCCAAATGGTTTTCCACTTGGATCCTCTTCCTTTGAAGATGTTTCCAACCGGCACTCACTGAGAGTGTCTGTAATCAGAACTGTGATGATAATAATAATAATAATAATAATAATAATAATAATAATAATGGAGGAACTGGGTTCCTGTCTAAGAAAGAAATTCAAATAATTGACTTATGTAGAAAATAAGTCAATTACTTGACTTATTTTGACTGTTAGAGGACAGCTGAACTCTCCTCTACCAGCCTGAGTACATAGAGAGCAAATGAACATTTGTCATCAGTCCAAGAAGAGCTCGACTCAATTCATGCAACTGAAGTTCTGAAGTTTTTGTCAGAAAATAAACATCATGTTAGAAATTCTTGTACTTAATACTTTTACTTTAGGTACATTTTCTTTTGACCTTTCAGTACAATGAATGTCAGAAACTTTAACACTTTTACTCAAGTAATATTTTTTGTAGGAGACTTTGACTTTACCAAGGTAAATTTATGGTGAGATACTGGTACTTTCAGTGCAGTATCACTTTGAGGTACTTTATACAACACTGAATCTAATCACTACTAATCACTGTCGTCTACGATTTGACCAGCCAAATAGTTTTCAGAGATTAAACACTTCCTGCAGCAGGATCCTGCTAATCTGTTGCTGCTTCTGCTTTTTTTGTCCTCCACTTGCTCTTTGGAGATAGTGAAGCTGCAGTATGCACCACATATCAGCTCCCACAGTATCAGCTGCTAGCTCAGTGCGCAGCATGAGATCCTGGCCCGGGTTATTTGGTTGAATGAATTATTAATAGCACACCGATTTTTCACAGCTTACTGCCTTTTACACATTCTCAGTTTTTTCCCTGAAGTCGCAGATTCCGATTGCATCTCGTAATGTTCACAGAGCTCATGTGGTCTCTTTTCCTCTTTCTTTTTTCACAGTTCCAAACAAAGGGAGTGTTTGCCCAGGAAGTGTTCTTCACTGTCTGTCAGAACAGGAATCTTTCACCTTGGAAAATGAAGATGTTGTTGCCATGGGAACTCTTAATCCTTCTGTCACTCAAAGAGTGCCTTGCCGGTAAGATGCCAAGACGAGTCTCCTTTCATGACATGGATGATATGCATACGTCTTTCAGAGAGAGAGAGATGAAGTTTGCCTTCTTTTCCCTCACCTGGGTTTGGTTTATCGTTTCTTAAGGAGAGCTGATAGTGAACTCAAATAAAAGTGTTCATTTCTACTTGCTTTTATATCTGTGCAGATCCTACACCTACTTTGAAGGGGGGAAGTGCAAAACATCTCAAATCGGATTAAAATTCAGCTTTGGTAGCATATCATTTCGGAACCAGTGCGTTGCATTCTGGGTGTAGGAAAGTTTTCAAATTCAGCTATCTTGTGGAGTTGTTGGGTTTCTTTAGTGCTCAGCACCAGTCAGAGGTTTATATGCTACATACATACCACTTACAAAAAACTTAGGCTTGTTTGGTTTTCAGGGGTCATTTCAGGACAAATCCCAAACCTTTACAGCTGAAGATGATGTGATCTTTTCAAAATTTTTGAATACATGTCCAACTGGTGAATGCTTGAATAATTTTTGCACAACTTGCTGGTCTCTTAAACTTAAAGGGGCAGTATTAAGTAAACTCGACTTATTTGAGCTGTACATCATGTCATAATGTTATTTCTTCATCAGAAACATATCTGGAGTGTTACTTTAATTATTTCATGCTTGCTTGAGAAATCTCCATGGCAACCATTTAGCTGTGCAAAACGCCTAGGTGATCCTAGCTCCATCTTCAAGGTGAAGCTTCTCCTCAGAGCTGCAGTTTACAAGCTTCTGAGTTTTCACCTCACAGAGCAACTCTCTCCAGAAATCACCCCATTCAGTTCCATCAGACTAGCCAGCAGCAATTCGCAAACACCTGTGGAACTGCATTCAGATGACTGAAGTTCAGCAAACACCTGTCAATTGAAATCACCTGGGCTGAAGCAAGGAAACGCATGAAACATGCAGGGCAGTGTGCCTTTAGGTCCAGGATTGGGAAACACACCTCACCACTCAACCAGGCTCCAGATGAGGAACATTTACTCTGAACGAGGAACCGATGGGGACCAGTGAGGACCAGTGGGGACCAGTGAGGACCAGTGGGGACCAGTGGGAGCTTAGTGCTGCTGAAAGTCTAGTCACATTGTGTAGATATAATAGACGCCAAAGATGTTGGAGATGCTTCTGCCACAGCCACTGTTGTCACCAGAGGATCCTTTGGAGTGTTACAATGTTGACGCATAATTAGGGAACAAGAGAACATCTCCAGACGCATCTGCAAGTTTTCCTCCCTTTTAAACACTTGCACAGAAGTAAACTTGTACTACAAACAAATCCACTCACTCAGTTTAGCACTCATGTCTTTATTTGGAGCATTCTGGATGATGCTGTTAATCTACCTCTGACAGACAAGGAGACCAGCAGCAGGCTTTAGTTTCCCAAATACCTGCATGAGTTACTGTTAAGGTTTTCCACTCCCTCTCAGAGCTCTCTGGTGTAACTTGGAGATTTACAACCAGCAGCCACATTTGAGGGATATAATGTGTACCCAGATCAAGCCGACCGTTTACAAGTCATCACGCAAATATACACTGAAATTCATACAGCATATGGAGCCGGCTCTATTGCTTTGTTATTTATGCCTCTGTTTCAATTGATTTAGCATCCTATCTCAAGTCAGCACTTCCACCGGGGTGTATTATGAAGTGTACAGATGCAGAGTAGTGAGAGCAGAGGCCAGTGCTCTTCATCATATTCTGCAAGTAGTGTCGTGTTCAAAATAGCAGTGGATTTAAAAAAAGTGAGTAAAGCTCAAAATCCTGATAACAGCTTTTATTTCAATATAAAGGGATGAATTAGGAACTACAGAACATTCAATTCCAAAGTGAAAAACATGGCAGGAGCGTAATCACATTTGTTATTTCGCACTATGAAAAAAAAAGGAATATTAGGATGGTTTGAGAAATGGCAGCATCTGCATTTTTCTCTATAAAACCAAACATTTTCTGCACCCTCTGAAAAACCATGAAGATTTTTGCTTTCCTGTGAATCACTGAGCTATTATTTAGTTGCGTAAATGACAAAAAATCCAATCCCACCTCAACTACATGACATCGATCTTGTTGGTCTGGAATCAAGATTCAGCTTGTCTGCTAATAGGCTTTGGCTAGCTTGTTGCAACATCACCTTGAAGGCCATTTAATCTAGAAAAATAACAACATGATGTGTTTGGCATCATGTCAGATGAATATCATAGATCAACTATTCTGATGTAGTTCATCTGTTTTCTTTTGTCCGTCATCTCTTTCTGGTTTTGGTTTTGAAGCACTTAAGGTCATTTTAACTAAAACACCGGAACATTGTATGGAAAACTTAATATCCACTCATCAAACTAAAACATTTGCTCACACTCAGTGGAGTATGTGCATGAATGACTGTAGTGTGAACCACTTTGGGGTCCTCTTGACTTGATAAGGCAATATAAAAGTACAGAATCATTCACCATTTGGCCAATTAATGGTAATACTGCAATTGCAAAATTGTGTTCTTAGTTGTGTAAGTAGAAGAGATTTGCATACATTTATAATAATTCCACATCTTATGATGGGTCTGTTATTCTCTTACTCAACTAAATATCAGAGGTGGGACAAAGTCAGTATTTTGCAAGTCTCAAGTAAGTCTCAAGTCTGTCCTCATGCACTTTCAACTTGACAGTTGAAAGTCGTCATCTTTTACTTTTACAGCATTTTCTGAAGAGTAGCAAAAATTACTGGATTTTGATTTGTTTTTCTAGCAAAGTTATATGACTTGGAGATGATATTTCAACAGCCATCATGCCGCCGTTTGAAGAGTTATAACTGAAAAACCAGACTCAATGCACTGACTGCAGTAAACAATCTATTATCAATATAATTTCCCAAAATAGTTGTCTGCAAATACACCCATTCTTGTTAAATTTTGGATTTGAAAATATAGGAAATGTCTGTCTGATGCTACTGTGAGAGAAGGTGGGAATCCTCCTCCCACCATGCAAGAGCCGTAGTGGGAGGAGGAGATATTTATGGGAAGATACTAATATGGGAGCAGGGTGGGAAAGGGGTGTAACAAAACGTAGTTTCCCTGAGTACAGGTACAGAACCTGCTTTCTGATCCGGAGCTCCACTCTCTTTCCAACGGCTTCCTGAACTAACATGGTGCACATTAATGTGGATAGGTTTGAATCACAGGATTTATACAGCATGACTAAACATAGCAAACAAGTGAAAGATAAGTGGTATCACCAACTTAACCCAGAGTTGCTAACATGACGTAGTAAACGAAAAGTAACGCTTGTCATTCTTTGTGCAACTTCAAATGCTGAGATCCTGGTCTTGCAGGTTTTGCATGTTTCACTCCGTTTTTAGTGGGATATTTCAAGATTGATGCTTCTTTTGAGTATATCTGCTTTCAGCGTTTTTTTGTCTCATTTTTTTCTCCCCATCCTGTTCATGTGTTTGGTTGTGCTGCAGTTTCCGCACACATACATATGGATGTGTCATATTGGGAGGATTTGATTCTAGCCCATATGCAGAACACAACACTAGGATACGGTGGGTGAAAATATAGTGAATTTATTTGAGAAGGAAACGGAACACAGTGGCAGGGAATGAAAACTCTGGTCTGGTCCACGGGAAGGGAAGGATCAGGAAGCGATCGGCTCACTAGGAGTACAGAGCAGGAAAGGTGAGTTCGAAGGCTGTGGGAAAGTGGAGTGTCGATAACACTGGACAGATCTTACTTGAGTAGAGCCGGGAAAAGCTAGCGGCGGGTGGCTGCTGGGTCCAGGGTCCGGTCTCTCTGGGGGTTTGGGTGGGGCGTGTGCGCGCTGGAGGGCAGACAGGTAGGCTTGGGATCCGCGAGGAGCGAGAAACGGCGCGTCTTCCAGTCGAGGAAATCCAAGGGGAGACTGCGGAGAGGTGAGTAGACAAAGGAATCACTGACGGCTCAGACAGCGAGAAAAACACAGAGTACAAACTCGAGGTAGCTAGGAGGTACCAAAACTGGGCAACACTCAGGCGCCGAAGGACTGGTAGACCGCTCCTCAAAACCTGTCGCTGATGAGCTAATCCGAGGCCGGTGTGGGAGATGACGTCATCCATGCCCTCCGTCAAACTGATGGTGCCATCTGGTGAGGAAACAAAGGTGGTGCATGCACCCAAAACCCCTACAGCGAGAACCTAACAACCCTGGATCCTGACAGTACCCCCCCCCCCAATGGCCGCCACCTGGCGGCCTAGATGAGCTGGAGGGAAGCGACGCACGATAATCCGAGACAAGTGACGGGTCCAATATAAATGAACCCGGAACCCAAGAACGGTCCTCAGGACCGTAGCCCTCCCAGTCAACAAGATATTGCCAACCCCGACCTCGTCGACGGGAGTCCACGATCCGGCGGACGGAATAGGCGGGATGACCAGCAATGTCACGGGGAGGCGGAGAGGGTTCGGCTGGAGGGCAGAGCGGGCTGGTCCGGACGGGCTTTATCCGAGAGATGTGGAAGGTGGGATGGACGCGGAGGGAAGTGGGTAGACAGAGGCGAACAGCGGATGGGTTGATTATAGTTTCAATTTCAAAAGGGCCAATGTAACGGGGAGAGAGCTTCTTAGACACAGATTTGAGCGGGATGTCCTGGGACGACAACCAGACTTGTTGACCGGGTGAGTAAACAGGGGCAGGACGCCTCTTACGATCCGCCTGCCGCTTGATTTGTTCTGTGGTGAGGTTAAGATTGTGGATGGTGGAATTCCAAATCTTGTGGCAGCGACGGATGTGTTGACGGACAGAAGTGACTGAGATGTCTTCCTCATCGGACGGCAACAGGGGTGGTTGGTAGCCAATGGATGCTTCGAATGGCGATAAGCCTGTGGAGGATGAGACGTGATAATTGTGAGCATACTCTACCCTAGGAAGATACTGGAACCAGTCGGAAGGATTGGAGGATGTGAAACAGCGGAGAGTGGCTTCAAGGTCCTGATTGAGGCGTTCAGTCTGCCCATTGGACTGGGGATGAAAACCTGAAGTTAGTGAAACCTTAGCATTTAATGCTGAACAAAAATTGCGCCAAACCTGAGAGGTGAATTGTGGACCTCTGTCTGACAGTATGTCCACCGGGATGCCATGAAGCCGGAATACATGTTTCACTAGAAGTTGAGCCGTTTGGAAGGCAGAAGGAAGTTTGCGAAGAGGAACGAGATGGCAGGCCTTGGAGAACCGGTCGACTATGGAGAGGATGGCTGTCATGCCCTTAGATGGAGGTAACCCAGTAACAAAGTCTATGGCGATGTGGGACCAGGGGCGTTTAGGAATGGGAAGAGGTTGGAGGAGACCAGGCGGAGGTTGATGGGAGGACTTGTTGCGTGAGCAGGTAGTGCAGGCCAGGACATACTCACGGACATCCTTGTGGACTGACGGCCACCAGAACCTTCTGTTGACTAAGGCGATAGTCCGGCTCACCTCAGGGTGTCCTGAAAATTTGGAGGCGTGGATCCATTGAAGAAAGGGTGCGTACGGAGGACGGAACAAATATTTTGTTGGGTGGACAGGAGTCTGGTGTCAGTTCGTTTTGTTGTGCTTGCTTGATGATATCCTCAATCTCCCAAGTTACAGTTCCCACGGTACAGCTGGGTGGCAGAATGGGGGCAGGAAGGTTGTCGGAATCATCGGAAGAATAGAGACGTGACAGGGCATCCGGTTTTATATTTCGGGAACCAGGACGATAGGATATGGACAGGTTGAAACGAGAGAAGAAAAGTGACCAGCGTGACTGTCGGGTATTTAACCTTTTGGCTGACTGCAGATAGGAAAGGTTCTTGTGATCGGACCAGACCAGCCCGGGGAGTTCCGCCCCCTCCAGCCAATGTCTCCATTCCTCCAAGGCCAGCTTTATGGCGAGCAGCTCTCGGTCCCCCACATCGTAGTTTCTCTCGGGAGGAGTTAACCTACGTGAAAAAAAGGCACAGGGGTGAGTTTTATTGTCGAGAGGTGAAATCTGAGACAAGACTGCTCCTACTCCCATATCTGATGCGTCGACCTCCACGATGAATTGTCTGGCTGGATCCGGCTGAATGAGAACTGGTGCATTTGCAAAGAGGTGCTTCAGACGAGTAAACGCGGCCTCTGCGTCAGAGGTCCAACGAAACGAGATCTTAGAAGAGGTCAGGGCTGTAAGGGGTGCAGCAGTCTGACTATAATTTCGAATGAATCTCCGGTAAAAGTTGGCAAAACCAAGAAAGCGCTGTAACTGCTTGCGGGTCTCAGGAGTCGGCCATTCCAGAACCGCCCGGATCTTCTCCTCCGTAGGCCTCACCTGTCCGCCCCCTAATATGAATCCGAGAAATGACACAGAGGTCTGATGAAAAGCACATTTCTCAGCCTTAACATATAATCTGTTCTCGAGCAGCCGCTGCAGCACTTGCCGGACATGATGTCTGTGTTCTTCTAAGGACTTGGAAAAAATCAAAATGTCATCCGAGGTAAACAAACACAAACACATTCAAGAAATCTCGGAGAACATCATTGACCAGGGCCTGAAAAAAAGCGGGGGCGTTAGACAGTCCGAATGGCATCACTAGATATTCAAAATGGCCAATAGGCGTTTTGAAAGCAGTCTTCCACTCATCTCCCTCACGGATGCGAAGCAGATGGTAGGCATTCCTTAAGTCCAACTTAGAAAAGATGGTGGCCTCATGAACGGGTTCGAACGCTGATGATAGTAAGGGCAACGGGTATTTGTTTTTCACAGTGATGTTTAAGCCTCGGTAATCAATACAGGGCCTAAGGGACCCGTCCCTCTTTCCAACAAAGAAAAAACCCGCTCCTAAGGGTGATGAAGACGGGCGAATTATTCCAGCAGCCAAGGATTCTTTAATATATCTTTCCATGGCCTCTCTCTCCGGACGGGAAATGTTGTAAAGGCGACTGGACGGCAAAGGAGCTCCGGGGAGCAGATCGATGGAGCAATCGTAGGGACGGTGCGGTGGTAAAGAGAGCGCCTTAGACTTACTGAAAACGGCCGAAAGGTCATGGTAATCGGTAGGTATGGTAGACAGGTCTACGGGGTCAACCTCCTGCTGCTGAACGGGTGGTGGTCCTGGAGGTAGCGCTGAATGGAGACAAGAAGAGTGGCAACGGACGAACCAGGAGGTGATGCGCTTAGCTGACCAATCAATCTGAGGGTTGTGTTGCTGAAGCCACTGAAAACCGAGAACCATTGGAGAGTTGGAGGTGGGGAACACAAAAAATGAAATAAATTCAGTGTGATTGCCGGATATTATTAGGTGGATAGGTTTGGTCTGGTGAGTTATGGATTGTAAGGTTTTCCCATCCAAGGCGGTGACCTTGAACGGAACCGGCAACGGCACGGTTTCCACCCCCAATTGTTTGATTAAGGCCTCGTCCAATAAATTTTGTTCGCAATCTGAGTCAACTAGGGCAGATACGGAGAAAGACTGAGTCGCATATCTTAAAGTGGCAGGCAGTAAAAGCTGAGGAAGATTCTCACTATTCTGGTGGTCCGCCAGCTTCCTCACTTCTGCTGGCGGACCTGGGAGTTTAAACGGAGGGGACACGACGCACGGAAATGACCGGGGGAACCACAGTAAATGCAGAGTCGAGCAGAGAAACGGCGTTGTCGCTCCTCCGGTGTGAGCCTCGTTCCCCCTAACTGCATGGGCTCCGGAGGAGCGCGAAGAGGAGGGGCGACCCGGGCGATGCTAGCGCCACCATTGTCTCTCTCCGGTGAGCTGCGTCGATCTCTGATTCTGGCTCGGGAGCGGAGACGGTTGTCGAGTCTGATCGCCAGGTTAATTAGCTCTTCTAGAGTCCCTGGTTCGTCCCGGGTGGCTAGTTCGTCTTTTAGCGACTCATTAAGTGCATGGTAGAATGCGCTTTTTAACGCTGCTGTATTCCACTCTGTAGCAGCCGCTTTAATACGGAACTCTATGGCAAAGTCTGCCGCCGTCTGCTTGCCTTGCTTTAAGTCCCATATCTCTCGTGAGTTATGAGCCTTGTCGGAGTCAAGGCTAAAAACCAGCTTAAACTCCTTGATGAAACTCTCGAAGGAACAACCACAATCAGTGGGATTAGGAAAACGAGTCTCTGCCCATAATAAGACCTGACCAGATAACTGAGACAGGACGTAAGCTATTTTAGCGCCATCGTGTGTAAAACTTTGCGGGGAATGATTGAATATTATTGAACATTGCAGGAGGAAACTATTGCATTTATTCCGGTCACCTGAAAATCTCTCCGGCCCCTTCGGAGTCGGAAAACACGGGCTGAACTCAGGGTGCCGGAGCCGGAGCGGGAGAGGGAGCAGGAGCTGGAGCCGGGATCTGCGGTAGAGAGTTTTGAAGGAAAGTTGTTAGATCTGCCAGATGCTGGTTGGTTTCTGTTTGTAGGGTGTGGAGTTGTCGTATTGCAGACTCGTGTGTTTGGATTACAGACTGCTGCTCTGTCAGCGTTTTCCGTATTGCGTCTGCGGGGCTGAGTGGTTGGCCTGAGTGTTCTGTCATATTGGGGGGATTTGATTCTAGCCCATATGCAGAACACAACACTAGGATACGGTGGGTGAAAATATAGTGAATTTATTTGAGAAGGAAACGGAACACAGTGGCAGGGAATGAAAACTCTGGTCTGGTCCACGGGAAGGGAAGGATCAGGAAGCGATCGGCTCACTAGGAGTACAGAGCAGGAAAGGTGAGTTCGAAGGCTGTGGGAAAGTGGAGTGTCGATAACACTGGACAGATCTTACTTGAGTAGAGCCGGAAAAGCTAGCGGCGGGTGGCTGCTGGGTCCAGGGTCCGGTCTCTCTGGGGGTTTGGGTGGGGCGTGTGCGCGCTGGAGGGCAGACAGGTAGGCTCGGGATCCGCGAGGAGCGAGAAACGGCGCGTCTTCCAGTCGAGGAAATCCAAGGGGAGACTGCGGAGAGGTGAGTAGACAAAGGAATCACTGACGGCTCAGACAGCGAGAAAAACACAGAGTACAAACTCGAGGTAGCTAGGAGGTACCAAAACTGGGCAACACTCAGGCGCCGAAGGACTGGTAGACCGCTCCTCAAAACCTGTCGCTGATGAGCTAATCCGAGGCCGGTGTGGGAGATGACGTCATCCATGCCCTCCGTCAAACTGATGGTGCCATCTGGTGAGGAAACAAAGGTGGTGCATGCACCCAAAACCCCTACAGCGAGAACCTAACAACCCTGGATCCTGACAGGATGGTGGAAAAAAAAGAGGGACGGTCTGCGCCTGTTAATACGGAATGAGTGAAATGAATTAATGGGGCCACATTATAAATAATGTGTTTTAAATTTTATGACTTTGAGTAAAATATCAAGTCTTTTCAAATCAAGTCAAGCCTGAGTCAATGTCAAAGTCAAGTCTGAGTCTTTGAACATTTTTTCAAGTCAAGTCTGAAGTCGTGATTTTAATGACTTGAGTCCAAGTCATGTGACTCTGGTATGGCATACATAGCAGAATCCCCACCTCTGCTATATATGGTAGTAAATTATATATATATTATAGGTGAAAATGTTACCAAAAGAAAATGATCTAGTTAGTGCACACAATGGTTTTGAGTTTCCTTTTACATGCATTCCCATGAAACGTAATTAGGTGTAATGTGTTATGGATGTACACTTACTTGGAGCAGTGGTCAGTCGGGCCAGAGTATTTACTGAGCGGGGTTGTTCTCAGGCAGATAAACGAAGCTCCCAGTGTTTTCCCCTGGAGAAATAACCCAGCTTTTAAGGGTTCATTAATTTGTTTAATTTAAAGGACATTCCAAGCAGGGCAGAATCTGAAACGCTTCCCTCGGAGACGAGAAAGAGGGAAAACGAGGCCCTTACCTGAGGCAAAGACTCCCACTCTCATTAGGATGATCATAATGATGACAACGTGGGAGGGAACACTCTTTGTCCTAGTCAAGGTTAGAGACGTGTATCGTGGAAAGGAGAAAAAAATAGAAAAATATCTCATCTTTCATTGTCTCAAGTGAACAAAGCGAAAATTAACATTTTTTTCCCAGGCAGCAGGGTTGTGCAGCTTGGCTCATGACACGCTGTGTCTGAGGAAATGGAGGGTGTGCACCAGTGCGTGGCTGCATGTGAGAGTGGATCTGCTAAAAAAAAAAAAATTCACGGGAGTAATTAGTGAACCATCGGTTAATTACTCCTGTGTATTGACAGTTTGGCAGACACAACCAAAACAATGAGCTTAACAGAGAGCACACACACACACGCACCCCCCCACACACACAAACAAACTACATGTACATAGACAGCAGATCTGCTCTAATTAGATTAAAATTATTGAAGAAGCCCGACTCTGAATACCCAAGCTCTTATGTAAACATCTTCTGAAAACTATCCTCCTTGCCTAATAAAGAAAAGAGGAATCGGAGCATAAATCAGTGAAGGCTGCATCACGTTGTAATATTTTAGATTATTAAAACGATTGTATTGATTGAACTTGCTCTGTTTTTATTTCCTCTGTCTCCACTAACAATTCCTTGCAAAGAAAATTTTGAATTTTCTTCCTCATTTTGACACTTTGCAACCACAAATTGCAACTTATGCTTCTGTTATTTAATGTAGTAGACCACCACAAAATCATTTATCAGTAGCAATCTGAAAATTCTTTAGTTTCATATCCCCAAACAATGTTCACAATCATGTTAATAGCTGAACTAATTTTTAGCTCTGCGTTTTAGCGTTTTACTATCTTAGAAAATATTTAGTGCAGTTTTCTTCTCCTAAATTAATTAATCCTGATAAATTCTAAAGCTTGGACATCTACTTACTTGACCATCCTATAAATTTCAAGTTGAGTGAAGTTTGACATATTGCCTATTCAAGCAGCGAGCTGTTTATATTTATGCTGTTATTTTGAAGTGGGTGAATGCACCATTTCTGTTTCCTCTTCTCATGTTCTCCAACAATGTTGTGGTGCCGCAAATGACATTCATTCTGTAACTAGAGAGCCTTGCTTTTGTAAAGTAAACAGTTTAAAATCTTCTGATGTGGTCTGTGTTTTCTAACCAAAGTTAATTAGTCAAAATCAACAAGAGACTCAGCAAAACTCAACAACTATAAAACTAAACTCCGAAGTGAAACAATCAAATAATCACTTTCTGAAGTGCAAACAATACAAGTAGGAGTGCAATAGCAAATTTTGTCCTGTTGGGCAATATACTATGTTGTCAAATTGGCATTGACTCCTGGTGTGAATCGATATGGTTGAATTTAGCACTTTAGTTCTAGCTTTTGCTAAATACCATGTTCATAAAGCATTTTAGTAGAGCCAATGTTCATGGGTAGTGCTTTATGGTTAATGCAGCTAACAATTTAGTTAGCAGTGCCCGCCACTGATGAAAAACGAGACAGACTACAAATTTCTATTAACTTTGGACTGTAGAGATTAGAAATGTCCTTCCTCAAGTTTCACTCCACGTGCCAAATAACGGTGAGAGTAGAACTCCTTCCTGCAGGTCTGTGCCTTCTTTCTCTGTTGTTACATATTCCAGTTTTCTTGAGAAAGTCTCGGAAGGCAATCTCACCTACATTTGAAGTTTACTTTCTGCTTGCTGCCTCTTTGAGGTCTCTTAACAGATGTTTTCTTGTGTTTAAGACTGGACTTTAGCAGTGCTGAAGGACAGACAGATATTTTCCCTGAAGCTGCAGCAGAGTTTCCTTGGCTGTGTTTCACCGTTCAGCTGGAAGTTAAACATTTGCTCCAGTCTCAGGTGGATTTAATGCTATAGCAGGTTTTGTTTAAGAATCTCCCTGTATTAGGCTGCAGTCAGTCCATCCGTCCCTCCCTTTGCCCAGCTTGGGTTGGTCTTGAAGCAGTCCCTGACGATTCAACCTTATTTCATTTCAGAGTGCTTTAATATTAGAACATTGTCCACGTGGGACCATTCAGAGTATAAAAATAAATAAATAAAAGGTTGACCACAGACATATTGTGGGAAACCTCTGAGACATTTTTTTGACTTTGTTGATTGGTTTTGTACCTCAACTATTTTTTTTCTATCCTCCATGAGTTATTAAATCTTCAAATACAATTTTTTTTGGGTCTTCATATCCTTTTTGCAATAGCTGGGCTCTTGGTAACATCTGTAAAATCACAAGTTGTATTAATAACACCTGACTCCTGTATAGAGTTTCACAACAAAGAACATTGGTACTTTTCTCAGCTGTTGGACAGATGGTCTGAAATTTGTACCTAGAATAATATAGAATGAAGCTTTATTGTCACTCAGTGGGAACATTCAGGTGCACTGCATGCAAATTCATACTGACAGAAATATAAAAATGGAGAAAAAGAAAAGAGACTGTGCAGTGAGGGCAAATTTATAAGATAAGTAAAAGAAAAGCAATGCAGTTTCAGCTGTGTTTATCAAGAGGCAATTCTGATGGCACCAGCCTACAAAGTCTGGAGTCAACTAGCTGTACTCTGAATCGTCTCCAATTGGAATGAGGTGGACTATGTCAGAGTCGTAACAGAACGTCTGATGATAGCAGTGTGGGAGTTGGAAAAGAAGTCTGCAATTTAGAGAGTGAAAAGGAAAGATGTCAGTAGAGATCCCTGCGGGACTCCTGTCCACCCTGTTGGAGACATAGTCATGTGTCCTCATATACTTTCGGCACCCAGTGGGGTAGTCAGGTTGTGATCTACATTTTACCAACCCTTTTGTTCTGTAGAGTATCCCCAAACAGATTTATTTTAGTTCAGTTTAGTCTCATCTGTCCAAAGAACTGTTGAAAATCACTCAGATATGACTTTGCAAACCTTGCTGATATACATTTCTCACAATTCTTTCTCCAGCCAACTCCCTTAAAGAAGTCGTACTTGTTCGTTATTTTTTTTTAAATTTTTTTAAACCATACTGTCATGAACTTTAAAATTCAGCATGCTAACTGAGGCCTGTAAATGCAGAGATAGAGCTCTTGGGTATTTGTCACACATAGAAATTCATGTTCTGACCTTGAGGTCAATATGTGCTGATGACCACTGTGAGGAAGAAATGTGACTGTCTGAGAATGTTGTCTATTTGTGAATGTAATGTGTAATAAATGGTGTTATGACAATTCTCAGATACTCAGACAAGAGTCACTTCTCTGGTGTTCACTGTGGGAAAATAAACAATGTGGGTTTTTTTTAGAAACATTAGGGGAATTAGAATTTTAAAATTGTTAAAGTGAACACTGTTCCTATTACAACATGAAATCTAAAATCCTGGAATTGAAATTAGGATGTGGAAGACATCAGACAACAATTGTATTAATATTAGTGGTTGATTAAAATTGTTAATGAAGTTCATTACAGCATCTGTAATGAATTAATCACAATCAATTGCATCTTAATCCAAAACCATGCATTAAAAAAAGCAACATTTTCAATTCAAATACCCCTTTTGCTGTTAAATTATTGTATAAATACCTTTTAACACAACATAGACTCAGAATTATTCTTTTCCAGCATCCAACTGGATCATTTTTTGAAACAAAAATGAATTCCTAGTGGGCCAAGTCTATTTGTCTATTTGTCCATTGCTGTCATTTGTGGACATTAGTTGTGTGTCAGACATACAACCGTTCCAGAAACATGCAAATACAAAAGTTCCACCTGGAAACCTTGTATGTATAAAAATAAAATAATTGTGTTAAGATTTTCAATGCGTACAAACCTTTTACATTACTTAATAAAAATTAACGCATTAGAGTCCAAATAATATGCATATTTTCCTAGAGGTATTGTTTTAAAAGATAATTATCAGTAAAACTATTTAGTTTTTCCCCCCTTAAAAATTGTTTCAAACTTAAATTTTCTTCATTTTCATCTTTGGTTTGAAGTAATGCACTCTGAATCACGACACCACAGAGTGTGTCACATAAGCATTCATATCATTAGAGAGTTTATTGGTATAAAACATTCTGAGCACAAATGGAGCATAATAAGTATTCTCCATCAGCTGCAAACTGTGCAGAATGGGCCCAGAGACCAATGTGATGCAGCGTTATCATTTGTTAATTGCTCTCTCATTGGAATGTGACATCTGCATCGTGACATGATGGTTTATTAAATGCACAATGTACTCAGAGAGCCACCTTAGCAGCTAATTATAATAGGTGTGGAATTTACATACAGCTTCCAGAATGCTGAGTGATTCCTCTTTGCATTAATATGGTGTCACTTGTTCCACTTCATGGTACAGCTAATGTTTTATTTATTCTTTTTTTATTTATGATGCAGAGAACGCCCGCCACGGTCCTGTCTTCACCCAGGAGCCCAGTGACAGTATTTTCCCTATGAGCTCCGGCGACAAGCTAGTGTTCATTAACTGCAAAGCGAAGGGTAACCCACATCCACACTATAGGTATGTACATTGTTTTAGCTGCAGGTTAATGTGGCTATCACAATGAAAAGTAGTGTTTCATTAGAAAAAGAAAATAACTTTTCATTTTATTACTACTAAATGTGTTTCGGGATATTTTTGGCCAATTTTTAAAGAACGATTTCTAGGCACAGTATGAGTGTCATAGAATATATGAGTGATAATATAACGATTTCATTAACACTAAAATATACAATGTGTATATATAGTAGCTTTGAATATCTGTTATCAGACCAAAGAGCAATAATAATCCAACTGGACTCAGCAAACACCTGGTCTAACTGTGCATCTGCTGAGCTCTTTATCAGAGCTACTTCTCAGTTCAAAGCTGGTAAAAATGCTTTTAAAGGGATAACCTCTCAAGCCTGAGTATTTAAGAAAGTAAAAGGGAGATTTTGGCTTTTTTAGGACAATATCTATGTGTCCATGGTTATTGTTCAACTAGTTTGCAGGATTATTATGCAACTGAATTGAAACTGAAAACGTTTCCTTCTCACTTGTTTATTGTCATCCATTAAAGTGAGAATAATAAACAGTTTTTGCAGCAGAAAACATGAAATAGCTAAATTTGCAGTAGTGCTCTATCAGCCATCTGATAGAGCACTACTCTATCAGAGTCAGTCACCCTAATCCTATCAACATCTGGACACAACTCTGCCATGTCTTTCAAAATCATGTTAGTAGTTTTGAAACTTTTTAAAAATCTGGGTATGTCTTGATACAACTAACAGGCTCCATTCATATTCATAATGAAAGCTGATCATCAGTTTTCTACCTGATTTCATAGGTGGAAAGTGGACGGGAGAGACATAGACTCCGGCTCGGATCAGAGCTACAGCCTTGTTGAAGGGAACCTGCTGATCAATAATCCTCATTTTATCAATCACGGAGGTGTCTATCAGTGCATCGCCACCAACGCGTTTGGAACCATCGTCAGCAGGGAGGCAAAAGTCCAGTTTGCATGTGAGTATTTTTTCTGAACCAATTTTCTTTTTTCTTTCTTCACTAGTTTTTCAGGTGGTTGTCAACGTGATGACCGTATTGGTAAAAATTATCCCAAAAATGAAAAAGTATAAAAAAGGCTGAGCACCTCCAATAATAGACTGACATGCCAAAAGCTAAGATGCTCCATTTTGGCAATAAAATTTGCCTCCTATAGAAGAGGCAGAAGGTCCATTAGTTTTAAATTGTTCTGTATTTTGTCACTTTAAAATCAGAAAATGATTTTATATGATCGACTCTCTGGCTAACTTGTTACCACGACTACATTGACTTTGTAAATGACTGAAACCATAAAGGGAAAGGAAACGATCGGGTGGAACTCAATTTTGTAAATTATTTTTGTGGAACTCCAAATTATTATCCTCATCTAGAAGTATCTTTCTTTCTGCTCATGACTGCTGTGGTCCAAAGACCCCTGCTCATCAAAGCAGGGGCAGAACAGGCTGCGGGAGGATTGGATCTGCCAGGCACCTGTTGAAGTATTGCTGTGCTGGTCCAGGAATACACAGAGTGAACAGAGATACAACTAGTTCTGTGTGGATCAATAAGCGACTGTAACCCATGTTATTTACTGACTGCTGTTGGCTTTATAGAAAATACTTTGTTTTGCACTTTCCTGTAAAGCAAAAGTCTCATTTAATAATGTCGAGTCTGGTGTGTTTCCAGTAGTCTGTTTGTGAAACAGATTCATCTGGAACAGAAGCTGGAAGTTCAAGTTTGATTCTTTATCCTCTATCAGAAAGGAAAAATCTAATAAACTCTTATCTTGACTTCCAGGAAATTTGCCACTGCTAGTTATTGTTTCTTGAAGGAAGGACAATAATGACGTTTGTGATCCTTCACTTTTTATCTCACGTCAACATCAAAATGACTATATATATTTATATATCTATATTTCCTCTAAGAATAAATACTGATTGAAGGATTTTCTGATGCAGATTGTGACTTTAGTGCGTTTAGATTTTTGACATATGATGTTCACCCCACTGAATGTTGTACACTTTTTACAAATCAATCATAAACTTTGGCACTTTTTTGACATAATTATGCACAGTTATTAACTGTGTTATTAACCTTTTAATAACTTAAAATAAGTGATTATATAAATATTCCCACATTCAAGGCAGTGTGTTGAAAATTCACCTCTGGCTGCAATCATAGCATGAGCCTGAGCAAAACTCACAAAGTAAAAATGAACTCCTCCTTAATTTCAGGAGGAATTTTAATTAGCTGAGCTCTGATTTGACCCAAGCTGATATTTGCATGATCTCTCCAGAGACCAGTTGGTATTTTTTAGGGTTTATCTGTCTTCCTGGTATTTATTCTGTCGTGGTGCAGACAGTGGTGTTTAATTAAAGGTGAAAGCCTGACTGCAGCGTCCTTAGCCCGATCTACTTCCGGTGCGAACTGGTGTTGGTGATTTTCTGTAGGGGGGATTCTGTCGTCCCACCATTTCTGAATTTTTTTCCCTGTCTCTGCTGAAGGCAGGTGAGAGTTGGTAGAGATCCACACCTTTCTTCCTGACCTAGAAACACAGCATGTAACACTCTTCATTAGTTTGTCCACCAACATTCTCTGACAAACCCTTAAAGGCCCAGAGAAGCTCCAGATACACTGTCAAACATTAACAGACATAATTTTGGTTATTTAGATAGCTTCATATTTAGTTTACCAGTTAAATATGTAACTCCAAAGTAAATATTTAGTTCGAAAGCTAGATATTTTGTTTGAAGCTAAATATATCTGTTGGCATATAAAAACTTTAGTTAGTCAGCTAAATTGAGTTACCAAACTAAATATTGGAATATTGATCAGATTCATATGAATCTGGTCTGTATTGTTCCAACTGTTGTGAAAGGATCAAGGATAGGTCACATTAAGTCAAAATCAAATTCACATGCCAAACTTTTGTTTTAGTCTGACCACTAAATATTTAGCCTGAAGGTAAATATTTGGCTAAACACTTTCTAATTAATTATTTATTTTGTAAAATTTGTAAAATATTCAGCTTGTCTTAAAATTTTGCTTGATGACTAAATATTTAGTGTGTAACTGACATTTATAAATGACCATAGTAAAAATATGAGCTTTTTTCCTCTTTGACAGGCTGAAAAACATGAGTTATTGCTCCAGGCTTTTGACTGTGTAACTTTAGAAACATCACCACGTCGTGATGTAATTATGTGAGTGATTTCTGAATATGAATATGTCCTTTTTATATTTTTATGAGCAAAACAACTTCAATATCATGTATCATTTTGTGTCCACTTCACTCTACTTTGTGTAAAATACCGGCAGTTTCTTATTAATGTGCATAATCTGAGCATGCTTGAATATTTTTGCAGGACACTGTATGCTGAGGTGTGCTTTGGAAATAACCTGGTGATGTTTTTTCTTTTTTTCATCCCCAACAGTTCTGCAGAACTTCAGCCAGAAGCCGAGGAACACGGTGACGGTGAGAGAGGGTCAAGCTGTGGTTCTCCTCTGTGGCCCGCCGCCGCATTACGGAGGTACTTGACTCCCGACCATTACTCTCCTCAGTTGTCTTCCAGCTTCACACTGCTGCTTCCCTCAGTGTTCCTCAATCTGCTGCTTATTGTCCTCCAGCAATAATGTTGGGATTCTGTCTTTTTTTTGTTGTTGTTGTTTATTTTGGAACCCAACCCTCTGGCGTTTTGTGCTGCCAGAGTTCTCGTGGTATCTAATCTGCCACTGCACCTTGCCCAGACCCCTCTGCCTTGCTGCATCTGTCATTCACAGCCTTCCACTTCTTAACCTCGAACTCGCTTTTCCCGCCCATATGATCTGTGGACGTCTTGTCGTCTAGAAAGCCTCTGCTGCTCCGCCTCATTCAGCTGTCGTGTGTTGTGGTTTTTTTGCGATCAGGTTATCTGCTGAGTAATACCAGCGTCTGGTGGCGGAAGCATTCATCCCAGTGGCTCAGCTGTATGTTGGCTCATGAGTCTGGGTGCTGCTGATTAGCGGGCCCTCAAAGGGGTCGGAGCCCGGCAGTGCAATTTCACGCCTCCTCAGCAACCATCTCTCCTGTTCTTTCCTTTCTTTTTCATTTTTTTTTTCATTTTTTTTTTTTTTTTAGGTTTTCAACCAGGATTATAATAAACATTTTCCTCACTAAATCTGACAAGACTTTCATGTGGCATATTAGAGATGATCTAGCAGATGAGGCGATGAATCAATTTTTGAAATAATCGGTTTACTAGAATTATAAGAATCGATAAATATTTAATTGCAATTAATCAATTCTTAAAATAATTGTGAACTACTGTAGTGATTAATTCATTAACTGGAGTATACACTCAAATAAAGGCCATTTGCTGACAAAAAGCAAATGTATTCAAAGCAATAATTCATCCAAATGTGTACAAAAAAGATGTTGCATTTAAGATGACAGCTTTGTCTATAAATATGGTTTAGCCAAAACTCTTCTGAAGTGGCATTGTTTTTAGCTTTACCTGGTTCAGATTTACTTTATCAATGTTATGTTCTTTTATTTTAGGCAGGAAAAATGCTTAGTATTTAAAAAGGGAATTGAATTATCCACTTTCTGTTTCCAAGCCATTCCTGTGGCTGTGTGAAATTCCACACATTAGCAGGGTTTTTTTTGCTCTCGTTCCTGCCACCCCTTCGTCCTTTGAATACCCCCACCTCTTTAGTTTTCACCCTTAAAAGGATCATAGTCACACACTTGATGGGATTTTCACTGGGTGATAATGCTAGCTTGAGGGGTTTCAGCACCAGAATGTGTTGCCGCATCGTTTTTGGTGATATTACAGCTGCCTCGACAAACGTCGACGCGATTCTCGAGGAAATCTACAATGCACCTAATTAAAGGAGGATTCATGTGAAGCTTATCTGAACAATCAATACCTAAGTGGCCTTAAAGGAGGGGCGCTGAGAGCTGAACCCTGTCGGAGGACGTGGGATTATGTGCCTGGAAGTCCTCTGTTGCTGTGGGACTGCAGCTCTTAAACAGAGCCGGTCTCTGATAGTCCCTAATCATGAAAGGTCTGGCAGTTCATGCCCCGACTTTCCTTGTAATGATTTCAAATCACAGTTTTTTCCCTCAAGGAAGTGAATGGAACTTTTCAGCAGCTGCCAAGTGAGACAGACTGAGAGCAGAATGCTGTGGTGTGATAAGGCAGGGCTGCAGAAATGGCTAAATACCTTCGACACTCCCTGCAGACTTAAACTCCCTTCTTCCTCTTCTGTGTTGAAGTATTTGAGTGCACACCTCAACTTCAATGTACTCACCTCTTCTTTCCTTTCTTTATTTTGACACGTGTGATGTTTGGGATAAAAGTGGGAATGCTTTTTACCAAAGAATTCACTCAACTTTGTAATATTTTGTCCCAACATCATAGTTGAATTAATATAATTTTAAATTTTCTAGCAGAGAGGAGTGTATTCTTTACAGTAAATAACATTTTTAAAAAATCATAAACATATCTCTGATTTCTGATTTTAGACTATGTTTACACAGAACCTCTCTCTGGAACCTGTCGCATCTTTCAGATGTTGATTTGGGAAAATGTTTCACATTTGGCTGGAACCACCAAGGCATGTCTAATCCACCAGAGTTAAGCCTGTTGCAATAAGTTATTAGTCAATTAATCACACAATCAATGATCAATTAAAATGAGCTCAATAATTTCCATTCTGATTTTGAATATTTTTGAAGGAGGCATCATGATACTCTTTATTTACGGTTTTGTTTGAAAATGGTTTGTATTTTCTTTCTATTTATTGTTTGAGAACATTTTTTGATTCATTTTTGGATTCATTTTTGGATACTTAAAATATCTTCCAGTTCCATTGTGTTCTTTACTAAAAGGAAGGTTATTGGTGTTTGAGAGGGCAAACTTGCATTATTCTTCCATTATCAATACATCACTGGAAAATGGTCTATAAAAACAATGTTATCATATATCGCAACACTTACTGGGACAATTTATTGTCCAGCAAAATGAGTTGTTGTGACAGGCCTGACTGTAGTTGTCAGGGTGTTTCTGCATGTGTCCACTTTTTCTAAGGTCTGACTCTCTGTTCTCAATAATGTCAATCTATAAGACATCGCAAATGACTTCTTTCAGATTATGGATTGCATTAACAAGTGCTACACTCATAAACAAATGTTTTGTAACTTTTGGGTCAGTTGGTGGTCAGTGTTTTTCCATGGGAGCACAGAACAAAGGAATGAAGGTTGTGATGGATCAAATCACTGACAGGAATGTGGACATCATGGTTACTTTAATGTCCAAATGTACAGAAGATGTATCAAACACTGGGACAAGGGAAGAATGACAGAATAATCAAAATACAAACTATGAAACCCAAACATCCCAGAACCATTACTATGAACAATGAAAGACCTTGAAACAAAATCTATTTTTCAAGGGAAACCTGGCCAAGAGGCTTGCTGGTGTACAGCAAGCAAAACAATAAAAGGTACATATAATTAAAATATTATAAATGTATAAGTCAAACTGCTCTATGAAGGACTTTAAGACTTACTAGAGAACATTATCAAACATCAAATTACGCTCTTGAATGTTTTTACGTTTTAACTAGTGTTTTTAATAACAATACAAAAGAAAGTACAATTTCAAGTTTAAGTTCAGTGCTCCAGTGCTATTAATTCTATCATTTATTTTCACAGGTCAAATGTATCGTATTTTGGTCTTTCTGTGTTATTTTTACCTTATTATGAATTACTTTTTATGCCCTTTAAAATCAAATATATAGTCTCTTCTCTTCTGTTATTAGAAACCTGTGGGTCTTGTCGTTACCTAAACAAGCTTAAAGCTTTCTGAGAATATAAATCCACCTCTTTGGCTGCTCACAGTTGGAATAGCAGATATTTAATTTGACTCAGTGGACATAGTCATGCTGGCCTGATGCGACCGCCCTGCCGTGGTTTTTACCCAGGTGCTGGTACTCTTCACTTGGTCCAGAGTTTGGTGTAGACTTGGATTCTGAAGTTTTAAATGTTACCCACTTGCTAACGTTTGTTGATTTTTATTGAGTATTTGTAAGTGTAACCAACGCAAACTGTGCAGCTTCCTTCAATTCCTCCAGTGCTAAAGTTACATGCAGACCACAGCTCTGAAGGAGAAAATTGAAGTTGTCACAGCTTTTCTTTTTGTTTTGGCCGGATAGAAAATTTACCAGTGAAACTCAAGCAAAGCTGAGAAAGCCCGAATTATGAATACAGAATTTGTTTTTGTTTGTTTGATTGATCTCTTCATCACTTTAAGTGTTCTTCTCGTTTTCTGCAGAGATCAAATATTCCTGGGTTTTCAATGGCAACCGCAGCTTCCTCCAGCAGGATGCCCGCCGTTTCATCTCCCAGCGGACGGGAAACTTGTACGTTGCCAAAGTGGAAGCCTCGGACGCCGGGAACTACACGTGTGTAGTGAGAAACATGATGACCAACGCAACGGTGTTCAGCTCTCTGACCCCAGTGGTGGTGCGGGGTGACGGTAAGCGCAGACACTGCTCCATCCGGTTACTCAGCCTGCTGAACTGATGCACGGAGAAGATGAGTGGTTTGTCTAGAACGTGATGCTATTTTTCTCATCAGCCTTTATTGGGGTGTTAACATCCGAAAAGTCTCGCAGGGTGGCAGGGTTATGTGTGCGGGACACACTCTGTCTCCACATATTTACGTAACCAGACTGCATGCACAGTGAACAGCCTGACACCAATACGAATATTCACAACGCAGCTCTGGGCTTCTTGCTTCCACTGCAGCATGTATGCAATACATGTTGAATGCTGACCGCGCCTCCAAACAGCTGCAGTGCAAAAAACACAAAATCTTCCCATGTTTGTTCTTCTGGTTTCTGCTGCAAATGAATGATTACACTAGAAATAAGACAAAACTAATTTACAAATAACTTTTCAGCAAAACATAAGAGCTTGTTTTAAGACAATAATCCTTGAATATTATTTTTTTAAAGCACTGCTTCCAAATTTTTTTATAATATATTTTTATATATTTTTTAACTTGTTTTGAGAAGTGTATCTTTTGCTGTGGGCACTGTGTTTTATATATATATATATATATATATATATATATATATAAAACACAAAACACAGGGCACTGTGTTTTATATTTATATATATATATATATATATATATATATATATATATATATATATATATATATATATATATATATATATATATATATATATATATATATATATATATATATAAAACGCAGTGCCCACAGCAAAATATATATATTTTGCTTTGGGCAAAATATAGACAAAATATATAATATATATATTTATATATTTATAAATATATTATATATATATATATATATATATATATATATATATATATATATATATATATATATATATATATATATATATATTATATATATATATATATAAAACACAGTGCCCACAGCAAAAGATACACTTCTCAATATATATATATATATCTATCTATATATATATATATATATCTATCTATATATCTATATATATCTATATATATATATATATATATATATATATATATATATATATATAGATATATATATCTATATATATATATATTCATAACATTTTTTTTCTCCATATTTTCTTAGAATTGTGTGAAAGACCAACACAGTGGTGCTGAACTGTGAAGTGGGAGGAGTTTGTAAAGTTTTTATAGAACTTTTTTCTAAATCCTGAAATGTGTGCATTTGTATTCAGTCTTTCTAAGAGCCATAAATAAAATCTAGTACAAACAACTACCTTCTGAATAAGTGAATAAGCTAATACTATGAAATTTGGAAAATCTGATTACTGGATGAATGAAGAATATTTTAATGTTGTTGATAGAAAGTAGTGAAAAAGTTTCCCACATATCATAAAGGAGACACAGAGCGTAGCCTCTGTTATGGCCCTTGTATTTAGGAGACCAAATCAGTTTCTTGAGTTGGTTTTATTTTTTTTACCTTGATCATTTTATTTTTATGGAATAAAAATCAAGGTCCTGCACTTACTGTATATCTTCAGCCATATTACTTTTCATCTGCTAGAGCTCTGCAGCCACAAGTGACTTTGTTGCTGAACTTATTGTTCTGTTGTGTTGTACTTTTTTGTTAATTTTTTGTGATCCCTCATAAACTCTGGTCACATGTTCTACAGTCTAAGTAAAGCGTAATGAGCTGCTCTGCACAATGAAGTTCGACTTCATGTTTGTCTTTCTCGTAAGTCGGCAAACACTAATGTTTGTCTTTAAGGTTCTAATATTGCAAAATGTGAAAAAGTTAAAGGAGTGTTCAAACTTTTGTCAGAACCTCAGGGACGTATCGTGTTCTGACTCATGTCCTTCTGTCCCTCTGGTAGTGGTGATGGGTGAATACGAGCCCAAGATTGAGGTTCAGTTTCCTGACACCCTTTACATTTCCAAAGGATCGTCAGTGAAGCTGGAATGTTTCGCCCTAGGAAAGTAAGTGTCGCACACACACCCACACACGCCCCCACGCGCACACACACACACACGCCCCCATGCGCACCCACACACACCACAGGAGACAGGATTGAAGGAGCAGAAAGCAAATATATGCTATGACTTCAACTTCTGTGGTCAGTGTGACCTTGCATTGAGTGCGTGTGTGTGTGTTTGTGTGGGGTGTGTGTGCGTGTGTGTGTTTGTGTGGGGTGTGTGTGTGGGTGTGTGGGTGTGTGTGTGTGTGTGTGTGTGTTTTCACCTCGGCAGCCCAGTGCCGTCCATCTCCTGGAGGAGAGCTGATGGAAACCCACTCCCTGGGAAGATTAAGATCAACCACTCCACCGGAGATCTGGAAATTCCATATTTTCGCCCAGAGGATGCCGGTGTGTACGAGTGTGTTGCTGAAAACAGCAGAGGGAAGAATGTTGCCAGAGGGCAGCTGATATTCCAGAGTAAGAAAGATGGACGTTTTTCACATTTTGCTTGTTGCTTTCCAGCTTTTTTTTCATCTCTATTTAAAATCCCCAGACTTTGTGGGACTAGTAGTAACTAGATGTATTTTCAGGACTGTCTTCTTTAACTCACAAAATTCTTAACCGATAGAATTTTATGTTTATCTGCACAACCCATTTTGGCAGCAAAGCAGTTCTAAGGGCAACTGTGGCTGTGTGGCAGAGTTGTTGTCTTGCAATCGGAAGGTTGTAGGTTCAATTCCAGCTTCCTCCTGCCATATGTCGATGTGCCTCTGGGCAAGGCACTTAACCCCAAATTGCCTACCGGTCTGAATATCGGTGTGTGCGAATGGGTGAATGTGACTCTAGTGATAAGCGCTTTGAGTGGTCAAAATGACTGGAAAAGCGCTATATAAGTTCAGTCCATTTACCATTTCCATTTATGTGCTTTACATCATAAAAGTACAAAAATAAGAAATCATGAAAACATCACACAAGCACCAATTTAGAAACATTTTGTCAAGTGTCATCATCAAAATCATAGATTCACATCAAATATGTGGAAGATTTTTATACATTTCAAAAATGTTATTAATTGTTTTTGTTCAATAGTATATAATTTCCTAGAATAACTAAATATATTCTTATACGAATTACCAAAAACATGTTTGGACATTGTATGTGGTGTACCATGGGAATGTGTGTTGGAACTGTTCTGTTGCCAGAATTTTTATTTATTTATTTATTTGTTGAAATATTTATTTATTTGTATAGTTATTTGTCCATTTGGGGTTAATAAAGTATTTTTGAATTTGAATTGAATTTGAATTGTAAAATATTTCTGTGAAGTACATTATTTCTACAGATAGGCAGCATTCAGACCACAAGGATTTTTTTCAACACCCAGTTGTGGAAAATTATACAACAGTTTAACGTCATAAAGCAATGGTAGAAGAATTAATAAGGGTCTTACACAGTTTCTATAATTTATTGTAGTGATGTGCAATATTGCAAAATCATTACCTCGGTTATTGCTTAGGATTAAATAGCTGTATTTTTTTTTATCATACTTTTTATTGAGCATAGACATCTGTTGAATAGAGGTGTCTCATTTATATTTAATTTTATCTCATATTGATTTCTATTTACATATCCAATAAAACAATCAATCATTCTGTCCCCTTAAATGTTAATGCTCATAAACTGGAATTTCTCTCATAAAGTATAAAGTACTTGCACTTTAACTTTAAGTTCTGCTTTACACAGAGTGTTGAGCTCCTTGTTCATGCCCTGTCATTATATGCCAACTCGAGCATACCCCTGAGGCAGAGCTGCCAGTGACTACAGTAAAACCTCTGCTAACAGTCCCAGCAGCGCCAGCAGCTCTGGTCTGCAATCAGTCAAATACAACTACTGTAATTCTTTCCTTTTATTGGATGCTATTCTGTGTCTGTTAAGTCATTAAAGCCAGTCTATATAGTAGACACTAGCAAAGGAGCCATAGAGAGAAGCTCTATTTCACACTGGATAAGCATTATCTGGGGATCCCATGACATAAATAAGTTTCTCCCAAAGGTCTTCTTTATGTGTGATGCAAGCGCACTGGATAACTAAAGCCTGAGATTTCACTGAAATTTAAAAACGTTTCCCGGTTACGATGTTAGCGTGGTTTTGAAGTGAGTTAATGTTAAAAGTACTTTTCAGGCTAATGCCACAGTTCGGTCCTAGGCAACATTCCTGCACAAACTAATACGTAAGAGTAACTTAGAGAAAACAATGGAAGAAAACTGGAGTACCTCGAGAGAATCAACGCATGTACAGGGAGAACATGTGAAATTCTGTTACTCAATTCCGCCAGATTCGTATCTCCCTTCAGTATTCCATCAAAGATTTCACCCATTGATTTTGATTTCTCCGGTTGAATTTCAGCCGGACCAATCAAACAAAATGAGGAGTTCTGAATGATGACATTGACTTTCTGAGCTGTTTTAGAATTGTAGTCTAAAACATGTTGGGTTGTAGTCTCAGCAATGGCAGCAGAGGAGGTGAACAAAGTTGTTCAGTGTTGTTTGGTCACTCTTCTAAATATTGAGCTAATATAGTTGGAGTAAGAGGACTGTAGAAGACCTTTTACTGCTGACAAAGATGCATTGGTCATACTCTGCATGGGGTTGTTTTCAGCGCATGCAATTTCTGGTAAGTTTTATCAAGCTGGTACCTTACATACATCACGACTAAAGCAGTGATTTCTCAATAGCTGAGTGCTTAGTCCCCAATGTAAGAAATAAGGCTTGTTTTTAGTAGGCTGGCACAGGCCAGGGCATTCTTGTTACAGGACAAGCTCCCACCCAGCACCGCCCCATTTCATGTTTCATTTCTACACTGATTTCAACTTTCTCTGTAGACAGTAGAAGGACATTGGCTCTTAAGCTATTCTTTGATTTAAACATTTGTGTTTGGGAAGTAAAACAAACAAATGAAAGCATCATATTGATACATCTTCATATGAACACATTATGTTTTCCTAACTGCATTTGGTTTCAACTACAATGGCAACACTGAAGAACAAAAAACAAATATTCAAAAACGACAGTCTTTGGATGAAGCTTTTATGAATTAATTGCGAGTCTAAAATGAGGTCATGAGATCTAAAATCTATTTATTTGAATGTTCCTATTGGTTTAAATATTTGAATACTGATTCAAAGCTGCAATTTTGGACACGGAAGTTTGGAATCAAACATAAATGATCAAAGGTAATCATACATTAGTGAAGCTCTCTTCAAAAATAGACTATTTTTGAAGAGATGCATATTTCAGAGATTTGTGACCAATCTCTAATCTTTGGTATTTGTAGAATTTTGATCTCCATCTGTTGATTTGAGTCTATTCCAATTTTTCATTGAAGCACTATAATCAATATTCCCCTTTAGCCTCCCTGCTCTGTCATTGATAACACAAATTGAGGCGACATTCCACCGTGTGAGAACAGTTGCCAGACTGAACTATTATTCTGACACTCAAACTTCTCTTCACCCAAACAGGATTGACCATTAATTCAGAATATTATAGCGCATTCCTCCTTATTTGGTGGTGGAAAATTAAGGCTCACTGATTTCAAATGGGGATTAAAATAAGAAAACAAAGTACAATTAATTAAATCAACTGTATTGCAGAACTACAACATATAAACTGTTGTTAGAAAAAGACTTGCTCACATGCTGTACTTGTTTGATGCAATTCCATAAAATAGTCAGACTGTACAGAGGAAACTGACCCAGATAATCATCACAGCATTTGTTTTCCAGAGAAAGATTAATTGGTAGGAGCTGAATTTTTTTCTACATTACATGAAGAGTTATTTTAGATCAACAGTCATTAAGTCAAGACTATGATTGAATCGATCAAGTGTGTGTGAACATTTGCTCTGAAACTATTTGTTTATTATGCTTATGCTTATTGTATTTTAATTACTATAATCACTGTCTCTTAATTCTTGCTGTGCTCACGCCCCAGAGACTCTGGCTGAAAATTTGCCTGTTTGACTAAGCTGGTATAGTTACACAAATGTTTTTTTTTATTTTTTTTATTTTTTATTTTTATTGTGTGTCGTCTTTATATTATATTTTATATTTCAAACAAATTAACCATTTTTGATGGGACAAATGTAACAGACTGAAAATGTATTATGCTTTTCTTATAATTGTTCCAGTATTAATAGCTGCATAATAATTCTTTGTAACGTTTTGTTTTCTGTCTACAACAGTACAGTAATTTCTGTGATTCATCCTGCTTCGCTCCCTCTCAATCACCATCAATGTTATTTTCAAAACAACATTATCATTTATCACAAAATGTAATAGGATAATTTATTATCGTGACAGGTCTCGTCTCATTCATTTGTTTTCTCCTCAGATGTTGAACATCTTCAGTGGACCCAGATCCTGAAAGATGCACATATGGCCATTGATGCCAACCTGCAGTGGGAATGTAAAGCCATTGGTAAACCTAAACCTAAATATCGCTGGTTAAAGAATGGTCAACCGCTAACAACAAAGGTAAGACACAAAGCAGAAAGTAATAGAATCTTCTCGTAAAAGATTATGTTTCTCTTCTCAGTAATATTGAAAAAATGTGTCACAGCTGCAACTCCTGGTGTGTTTTTTTCAGGAGAGAGTTCATGTTGAAGCTGGCAGACTGACCATATCCACGATCCGTTTGTCAGACTCAGGGATGTATCAGTGTGTGGCAGAGAATGAATATGGATCACTGTATGCCAGCGCTGAGCTCAAGGTTGTAGGTAGGTATCATTCTCTGTGACTAACCAGCATTGACAATAGGACGACAAAAACAGAATACATAAGAGCTTCACAGAGGCCTGCCCTTTGCTTCCCAAAAAATTATAATCCATTCAAACAAGCAGCCAATCTGGTGGTAAAATGAAATGTCTATAATTGTCAGTGACACACTTGACATTTTGGCTGATGGCCAGTCCCTCTACAAACCGAAACAAATGGCTTCAACATGGGTCTCTTCCTCAGCTTCGCCACCTGACTTTACCCAGCGGCCCGTGAAAAAAACCACGGTGATCCATAGAGGGGGAGAGGTGGTGTTAGAGTGCCGGCCCAACGCGTCCCCCAGGGCCACCATCTCCTGGTGGAGAGGGGCCGAGCTCCTGAGGACCGGCAAGAGGTAGGTTAACATCAGTGCCGCAGCACCGAGCGCTGAGGTGTTTCATCATTTAGACCCATTTTTATACAGATCTCTCCGCAAGGGCAGTCTATGAATATGTTCCTCTACCTTGACATGCAGTGAGTGTTGGTTTTAAGGTGTTTTCACACCCGGTAGTCCGGGATCAAAGTTGTATAATTTGTTAGATTTTCAGTTGGTGCGGTTCACACTGCGCTGCACTGTGAAACAACCAAATCTTTTGAAAAACCTGTTCCCCTCCTCTCCTGTGGTGGCACTGCACCGAGAACTACTGAAGAAAATGACACAGAAATCTCCAAAAAGAGATGAGGCTAACTTCCTTGCTTTTTTTTTTAATCTCCATCAGAGTTTGATTATGTGACTTGGCAGAAAAAAGCAGGTATAGATGTTGAATCATTAGAAGGAAGCAAACACCATGTGCGCAAACAATTGACCTGATTTTCTGCTAATATTAACTCTTGGTTTTATGCATGTATCAGTGAGTCTGAGTTGAGCTTTTTCATTAGGGCCATTAAATATGATGATCGTCCAACAAAGAAAGATTTCACATAATTCATCAATCAAAGTCAAACTGTTTGATTTAGCAAAGAGAAAAAGACTGCCTCTTTCCTTGCTGCCGATTGATAATTCACATAATTTCAGCAGAAATAAGTCCTAATCTGATTTCTGTGAGAAGCTTGAAAAAAACCCAAACAACATTCAGTTTGAATTTTTCCCATAACCATTTTCGCCTTCAAATATGCAAATTAAAAAACACCTTTTGCCTTTAGTAAAAATCATCATGAGGAGAAGAAAATGTTACCATTCTGAAGAATAATGCTTCAAAAATTTAAGAACTGGAGACAAAAACAAAAGACAAAACTTAGAACTATTGTGTGAGAGGCAGCTTTTCAAAAAGAGCAGGAGTTTTTATGGAGACAGAGGCCCCATTTCAAGGCATTAAACTACAAAGTTACATACTTTCTTACATAATTTATTTTAAGTCGTATTTAATAAATACAGCATTTTTATAACACGACTTTATGTGGCTGGAAAATACATGCCCCTATAAAAGCAGGGCTGAGTCTGAAAAAGTTTGAGAAGCTCTGTTCTGTGGTATACTAAAGAACATTTGTCAATTTATTTAAACTTTTACAGTATTGGGCTTTATATTTTGCTTTGGATTGATGAAAATTATCTATGGGGCCCAATTCTCAATGATGGTGAGCCATTCTAATCTCATTTGAGTCAGACACAGAAACTGAGCACATATTGGATCAACGGATTGAGTAAGGGTCCACAGTTTCATCCCACTAATCAGCATTAAATTGGCAGATTGAGAGTTGTGTACTTAGAAATGTTACTACAAAAGGTATTAAAGTACCAAGAAAACCTGTCCATCAATAGCCAAGGACCATACAAAATAAAATAAAAAAAACAAGGGCCAAAGGGAAGAAATCTTGGTCCCAAACTGGAGCGTTTTATTTGCAGAATCCCAGCCTACAGCCTCAGTGTTAGGAATCAGATGAAAGTCAGATAGTTGTTACACCAGAAGGCCTACTAGAGCCTTCTTTCGAGCAGCTTCATATTGGCTGGAGCAGCTTCTGAAGAATTTATGCAAAAAAAAAAAAAAGTCATTTGAGCAGACTGATGAAAACCAGTCGTAGCTCTTACAAACTTATTTGAAAAGTGATTTTCTTTCACCTTGCAGCCATTAGGAGTCCTCAAAAATCAAATCCTAAGCAAACTGCCCAAATTATTATTTTTTGTCCAGAATGTAACCAAAGCAGTCTGATTTTGAAGTTATTTCTCCCAAAGTTCCCTGGAACAGAGTTCTAGTTCCAATAGTTTATTGATACATCTTCCTAGTGTAGACATTATAGCCCGAAGTAGAGCCTGGCTCTGAGAAGCAGTCAATTGTTTAGCATTCTTCAATTTAACACTCAGGACAGAATTTTACAAGTTAAGCAACAGTTTTTATTTTTGCAACAGTTTTGCATTGGCTATTGTCTTTTGTTTTTCATTAGAATCACAATACAGGTTGCGTGTAATGGATACAGAATCAAGGCCGCCTAACAAGTCAAAAAACAAAAAAACGCAAGACATTTACACCTAGTTTTGCACTAGACCTTTTCTGATACTAGCACAGTAGATGCACTGCAAAAACACAAAGGCTTAACAAGTACTTTGGTCTAATATATAGAGCAAATATATTAACACTCTTGAAAGAACGCAAAATCAACTTGCATGTAACCTTTCAGCAAAATTAAGCAACTTATTTCAAGTCAATAATTTATGAATATTGATGAAAAATCCTCCTTCCACTGGGAAAAAAATTGTTATTTTGATGTTACAAAAGAAGTAGTTCCTGAGTGTTAAACTACAGTCTTTAAGACAAAAAAAAATGATGGCAGAGGAGCAGGATTAGCTTTTGCAAGGATAGCTGTTGGCAAGACTAATGTGAACTTAGCTTTCACAGAGTTTGAACTGTGTTTGGTTATTTCTAGAACAGAATCTGAGTTACTATGAGGTCAAAGCCAGGTTGGATAATTCTACACTGATTTTAAATTCTTTGAAACAGTTTTGGATTTGTAAAATCTTAATTTGTTGGGAAACATAAAAGGGGTTTCTTAATTATCATGTTTCTAAAAATATTATTATTATCAACTCATCTTATACTTGTGAACGCAGGATGGTTCATAGTCTCCTTATTAGTGGGATGTAATGTTACAAACCTAGTAAATATGACCAGACTCTGCCCTAAATACATAGCTGATGCATCATTTGTATGGGAGCAAGTGCAGAGGAAGCAAAGCGTTTTTTTTTTTTTTTTTTTTTTTTTTTTTTTTTCACAGTTTTAAGCATTACCTATCTAGGTAATGAATCTTCATTACTAAGGGACGTGTGAATGATAAGATCTGAATACTAAAGTCCAGAAGGTTCCCAACAATATGGACTATAGTGCAGGGCATTCTGGGTAAGTAGAACCAAAGTAAAAGTGAGTGCGAGTGCCAGCTGGAGAAATGGCTAGTGGTTGTTGGTCAAAAACAAAAGAGAAATTCTACAACCTCTAAAATCTGACGTATTTATGTTGTTTTCTTAAGTTGTTCTTGGTACAGCGCCTCCATAAGAGAGGAGGGGAACAGCTTTTCAAAAGAGTTTAGTTGGTTTGACTCATCAGAGAGAACCAAAGCAGCTGGAAATAGAACAAAAGTTGCACTTTTGGTCCCTAGTCAAACATCCGAAGCATATACTTCAGTGTTGTGAGATTACAGCTAGATCAGAATCATCAATTGGTTTTCCTTACTGACAAGAAGCATAATCTAGACTGTTTGGTCATCAAGTAGTAAAGGCTCTTTTATTTAAACTAATATGATGAATAAGACACATAAACCTGATTAGTGACTTTCATTGAGTTAATAATAATCAATCCTGTTTTGAGTTGAAAGAATGGCTCATTTCTCTGATCTGAGCAGCTCTTTGGTTGCAATCAATTGTCTTATTTCAGGCAGAAGCAAAAACAATGTAGAGAAAAAATAGATAGCAGAAGCTGAAAAGACGGAAAAATAATCAGTCTGATCTGAGTTTTTGTTTGATTTGTCTGGTTATAAAGGTGCTTTATATTTAATCATCATGTAATCTATTTAATGAGTCAGAAGAAAAGTGAAGGATATTACCATTGTTTTCATGTCTGTCTTGCTTTGGGTTCTCTGCTGGATCGATACAGCCGTATTCCCACAAACATCCTGCCTGAACACGTGACCGCTCAGATGGTGTATTTATCATATTTGACATGCTTTCATCTTGGAGAGAAAAAGGGGAGGAAAATTACCCAACTATTAAATAGCCTGTGCGTTTGCAGCGGTCTCCAGTGCAGACAGTTGTGCACGTCGCTCTTTGTTCTGCACCTTATTGCCCCTCAGGTCATGTTCTCAGCGCGCCTGCATCACTCACAGTTTGATATTTTTGTCAATAAATCAGCCCAAAGCACAACGTGTCAGACATGCTCTTTGGGTTTAAGCTGGGCCCAAGTGAATACATATTTATTCCTGTGAACTGCTATGAAATCGTTTGATTCCTGAGTCGGATGTTTGGCACATTTCTGTTTGATCATGTGAATTGACTGTGCCTTATTTTTGCATGTTTTACATGTTTTCTGACTTAGAACTAAACTGATCATTTTAGTTGAAAAGATTCTGATTCTTTCTTGTAATTCTGTTCTTCATGTCATACAAATGAGTTGCAGTCACAGGAAAAAATTTGCCCCCTCACAATTTTTTTTTTTTTTTGTGACCCTTAAATAATCCTGAACCGACAGAGGTGACCTGAGGAAATTCAAAAAGCAGTTGTCAAATGATGAGTTCACTGATCATTTCTCTCATTGGTAACTCTGGAAATGATTGTAAATAACTGTAAGTTTTGGAGTAATTTCACCAGCCACACCCTGACCTGAACTCACTGAACAAGAACTTATCTGGCAACATGAAGTAGGCTGAAAGCTCTAAAAAAAAAAAAAAAAAAAAAACAAACCTATCATACTTAAATCTAAAGATATTCAAAAACAAATGTAAAACAAAGTTTGTATCATCTGCATATCTAGAAAGATTTTCAAAGTCATTTCTAAGGTTTCATGGAATCCAGGACTAAAATAACTGAAGCTAAATGACAGATTTCTGCAACATAATGCAAAATAACTGGGTTACAAAGTCTTGGGAAATATAGAATGAAATTATTTTACAAACATTAATTTGTTCACTTGATAACAAAAAGTGAAACTATGATGAAAAAGACAAATCTATTACAACCCCGATATGTGTTCACCTTAAAGAAGAGAATGAATAATTGTGTATTTCTCATCTCTTCCTGCCGTCTTCAGACAGATGATCCTGGAGGACGGCACGCTGCGCATCGCCAACGTCTCCAAGGCAGACGAGGGCAGCTACACATGTGTGGCCAGAAACCATTTTGGAGCATCCAGCAGCACAGGGGTTCTAGTAGTCAAAGGTATTTCCATGCTATTTTCACTTGTTCCTCTTTTTCTTTGAGCCGGGAGTTTAAATTATGTTAGTGGGGGGAGGAAGCACCTCAAGCATGACTCTGATAATGAAATATAAAGGCGCTTTATGTTCCCGCCCGCTTGTGACAGACGTATAAGTCATCCATGGGTTTGTCAGCTCTGAGTTATTGCTCATGTAGCGGAGTGGGACAAGCCTCCGCTGCTGCTGTGATCGAAGAATATTTTTACTCATTCAAAAAGAGCTCCTGTCGCATTGTTAGAGTTTTTTTTTTTTTTAAAGAATGATCATAAAGTGGGAGTCTTCTCATTTTTTTTTCTAGTTGACGTTGTAATAGCTGTGTGTTTAATTATTCATGCCAAATTATAGGAGGCATTTGCTTCCTAAGTGAAGTTATTTAAGGTCACTTAATTACACTGATGGTCCACAATCTGTCTCTCTATTCGGGCCAAATTAAGCTTTATTACCTTGTTCACTCGACCAGATTTTATAGGGATACGTTCCACTAGCACACACACGGTAACAAATGATCTTTCTTTATCTGCTGCTCTGCCACAGAGCCCACCAGGATCATGGTCCCGCCTCTAAGCTCAGATGCCAGCGTGGGACAGAGCCTGGTCCTTCCCTGCCAGGTGTCCAGCGACTCGTCCCTCAGTCCCGTCTTCAAGTGGTTCTTCAATGGCAAGGCCATCGACTTCAGCCGGCAGGAGCACTTTGAGATGATTGGTGGGGTACGTTCACCATCCTGATTAACGTGTCACGTTTCGAAATTCGTTTTCACAACTTTCTGGTGTTTGTTTTGAACTGAGCTAACACTCGTGTTTATATTTTCATGCAGATCATTTCCAGTGTTGATATCTGAGGGTTAGCATTGAGTGATACTGACCCGACAGCAAATCAGAGATGAACTGACTAAAACTAGGACTAACAATATTATATCACCAAAGACACGTGATCAATAGCAATAGATTAGATGGACATCTGACAGAATAGTCAATAACATGTATATAGAATATTTGTTGAACTCTGATCCAGAACCACGTTGCATTCTGGGAGATGTAGGCAGAGCAAAGTCTTTAGCTGCTCAGTAAGCCTGTCAAAATATACAATAAATGAATCAATTACTTAATAGCATGATAAATTAAAATGAGCTCAATCATTTTATTTACATGATTTATTGTTTTTCTCTTTTTTCACCAAAAACTGAATGATAAAAGTCTTAAATCTGGTTCTTTGGCCTACATTTTTTGGAGTATAATTTTCCTTGCAGGCGCGCCATCATTAATTTCATTTGTTGTTTTGTTTATTTATTTAGCATATTCAAAATGTCTTCCAGTTCCAGTGTTAAATGTTCATTAGAATTTAAAGTTTAAAGATCTCTGAGAATGTGTTCTTCTATTATTATGCCATTACCATAATATGTTCTTGAAGATGGTCTGAAAACAACAACAATGTTATTGTTTATCACAGTAACTTCATAGAGAATTTGTCATCCAGTGAATTTTGTTACAGTGAGAGGTTGACCTAAACAAAGGTGGTTGCATCAACTCACTCTTTGGTTACCTAGCAACAACCAGTTGCTAGGTAAACTGATGTCGTACTTCGTAACTTGTGCAGCAGCAGGTACCTCATGGTGTGATGTTGTTTTTACATCACACATTGATTATCTGGCAGTTGACTGGATAAATCTATACGAATCCCCAAAAGGGAACAAAACCTGTTTAGGTGATGTTTCATTAAAGCATGACCTAATGAAACATAAAATGTAAAAAAGAGCTGAAAAAATCAAAATTGGACTTATTGTGGTCTATGTACTGAAGTGTCTAACAGATTTAAAGTCAAAGAAGACCTGCATAGACCTGCCTGGCAGCTGCGCTCTCTGATGAAATGTAAAGCTGAGAGCAGAGCTGGTGGAAATAGGAATATCACACAGCAGATATATAAAACTGCTTCTTACGTTCCCCATGTTCCTGTTCAGCACTCCACACTCTCACATTGTTGTTTTGCTTATGGATCTCACATTACCCATTCTATTCAGAGAGAGACATGTTTTCAATTTCTCACTTCCACACTTCTTACTTTAGTCCTTACATTTATGACATATATACGCTTTCACCCCTCTCAGAGCTTTAATGTTATTTTGGGAATTATTCAGACTTGGTGAAGCACCAAGACTTGGTGTGACTGGAATAAAACCTGCATGTAGTGGAAAAGCGTCCACACCACTATATGTAATGGTCACAGAAAGTAAAGATGGGGGATAAAGAAAAAAGAGAGGAGAGAAGAGAAACGAGTGTGAGATGAAAAGTTAAGAGAATGATATCAGAACAGAGGAGAAGAAGAAGTACAAAGGGAATACAGGAAAACACACCTGTGTCTCCATCAACCACAGAACTGTGCAAAAGGAGAACACAGCAATGCATTTATTAATGGAAACACACCAATTTTTTCAAACTTTTTATTTCAAAAAATAAAAAGTTTTTGCACTGGGATGAGGTGGTCTTTCAGATGTATTGAAATTGATTCATTTCACAGAACTGTGAAACTTCTTTTGCATCACACGAGTCACATGATCAACAGCCATATGTTACTACTGGAGAAATCTGCAAAAAAGACAATGATAAGTAGCAGGAGGATGATACTTTGTTTTGTTGCAGCTCTCACATAATCACAGTTCATAAAGAGCTCTCATTCCAACGTGTTGAATCCATAACTCTTCTGTAAAATTGATGACTACTATTTCCCATAGACCGTACATAGCCGCTTCCAACTAGGTGGGGCTTGTTGCTCCAAAGCTCCTCTGATTGGCTTAGAGATGATGAGTTTATGTAACATGACTGAATTATACTTTTTTTTACATGTAATGCTTTACATTCCTCACTGCCATAAATTTTAATGACTTATTGTTTAAACAAGCACATTCATGCAAGATTGTAATTGCATTTCTTACATACTGGAAAGATGGCAATTCCATAATTGTGTGTTTGTTTGTTTTTTTCTTACATTTGCAGAGCATAGATGAGGATTTGTGCGTATTAGTAATGGAAATGCAAATAATGCCTCATTTTTCTCTTCCAGTTTATATTATTTTTCCTGGTTCTAAATTTTAAATCTTTAAATCTGTGCTATATGAATATTTGTCATACATTCATAATGAGCATGAGTTAGGAAAAAGTGTTTTAATTTAAACATATTTACATATTTGTAGGAGCCTTCAAAGACCATCATTTAACGTATCAAAAATAATTATTTATTCTCATTAGTGTATAACGACGAGTGAGTGGCACTGGTTGCAATCTGAAATAAAGTCAGCAAAAATAACGTAACAATTTGTTTAACCTGTATTGTCTGAGGACAGCACTGCTTTTGAAGTCAAATGTGGATAAACAGAGTTAAAGCTTGGCACCTGGAGCTACATGGACAGATCTGCTGCTTTGTGGTGTTCTCTTGTCATACAGCAGTTTCCTCTGTTGGAAATTATTATTTTGTTTTACTTCAGACAATAGATGTCGTACTTCCTGTTGTCACTGTAAAAAAAAAATAATAATAATAAAAGGTAAACTCAGATATTAAGGTTTGTGCTCGCTGCCGGATCATAATCAACAGAACCGTCCCGTTGACACACCACTTCACGCCACAGACAACCACATAAACCCCTCGCCCATATCCAACACTGATATTTATACCAGTGAGCAGCTGCAGTCCACAACACAAAACAAATCTACTGTTCTAATTGTTCCAATCTCTGTCTCGACTCCACATGGACTCCAGGTAGATGGAATTTTACATCAGTGTGACTGGAAAATTTCCTCAGCACGTTGTTCCCCCTAACTGTCAACATATGTCTTTTGAACAAACAGAAGCGAGGGAGAATCTGTGTGTTGTGTGTGTGCTGGACATCTGCACGTAGCTAAAGAGATGCAGAGCCTTCAAAACTACACCAGCTCATGTTTTTTATTCAACTAATTTATCATTTTTTCAGTCATAACTTTTTATGGAAAAAATGGTTATGGTGGCTACACTTAAAATTCCAAAACTGCATCAAAATTAACCACAAAACTTACGAATTAGAACAAAGCAGAGATTCTTTAATGCAGAGAATTATCGCTTTATGAAAAAAAAAGTTTTACTTTTGAAAATGTGACTTTCTTTTAGAACAATAATTCTCGTTGTAATCCGGAAGTTCTGGTTTATTATGATGCAAGTTTAAGTTGAGCCACCAAAGCTGTTTTAAAAACGGAGGTGTTACGATGGCTCAGCCAAAGTAACACCTGCCAACTTTAATGAAATAAAATAAAACAAAAATACTTTTATGAATCAAAGTGAGGCAAAATCAAAATCAATCAAAGTGAGGCAAAATCAAAGAACTCTGGGAGCATATCAGCCTAAATATTGGAAATAACATGAATGTCTCAGAAACCTGGTCAGTAGAACTTTTTCCTGGACCCCGCCTTAAAAATGTGTTAACATAAATATTGTCTTTCTCCATTTTTACTTGAACAAAAAGCAAAAAAAAAAAAAAAAAAAAAAAACAGTGGCAACTTCCAAACGCTCCTGGATGTCAGTCAGAAAATAGAAACAGATGCTGTTTTCTTTTTCACACACCTTCAGGTCACAATAAAGCTTCCCAAATTTAAGAAACTTCACCTGATCAAAGATTCCCTGCTGTTGGTTTGAACTTACCTTTTTTGTAGAACAGAAGGCGTATATTGTTTTTCTAATGATAGAATTTAACTGGTGCAGGGAGGGATGTGTGTGAACAGCTTTCAGTGTTTTAATCTGAGCCAGGCTTCAGGCGCATTCGTTTCATTCACCTGCTGCATGTCTCCATATCTAACTAATCTCATTTTATCACATTACAAGCAGAAACTTCTATGTATTTTCTTGAGATATTTTGTACTAGCCCAACATAAACTAGTGCATTATTCTAACATGGAAGTTTTTGATGAGGGAATAACATTGTAATATGATGTCAACAGAGACATGGAAGCTGGTCAGTGCAAAAAAATAGAGCTTTCTGCACTGATGTGGGTACATTTCCAAGGAAAGTTCAATTTAACCAGGCACTTTGAAGAAGTTCTCCACTAGTATAAAAATAAACTTTGTAAAAGACATGGTCTGATTGGGTCCTTTTTTCCTTCTGTCTATGAAAACGACAGACACAGCAAAATACAGTAAACTGTATTTAACACCACGGTTGCAAAAAACTACCTTAGTCTTAACTAAACTTTCTAATGTCCTGGCCTTTGTTCTTGATAGTGGTAGCATCATGGCTTCTACATGTTAGCACTGTGTGCTAGCATTTAGCTCCTTGAGTATATATTTGCATTATTGCATAAACAGTTTAGCATTGGTTTTGTCATTTTTGTTTTGGATAACAGATGATCCAAATGGATTCAATCATGTTTCTGCACCATTAGATGATCATAGCTTTATTGCCAAATGACAAAATGGCCAAACATGGAGTAGTGGAATTCAGTGGAGAGACGCACTTGACCTCGAACTGGGGGCGGAGTGTTAAGTGCCTCATTTGCATTTAAAGAGATGGCATCAAAACTAGCTGTACCTCAGAACAGGGATACAAGTGGGTCCTGTGGAGCAACAACAAGGAATTCAGACCAAAACATTGCAGTTCCACCTTATGTAGACCACAACTGAATGATTTGAATGGGAAAAGAGAGGATTCAAAATCATGACATGTTCACTTTAAACAGTACTGACATCAGGTAACATATATCTGAAAGCTTGTCATTGATCTGAAGTAAAATTCTAAAAATGAAGCAGCAGCTGCTGTCTTTTCTCAAACTTTATTCCAAGCCTGAAGTTGACCTCACCATGTGAGTTAATAAAAAAAATGAACCATTCAACTTCCTGCTGAGTAAATTTTTCCTCATCTAAAGGGTTAGAGTGGCTCTATTGAACCCACAAGGTCCAATGAGATTCAACTACAATGCTCATATTTTCTACAGTGATGTGTTTTGAAAGGAAGGAAATTATAATGGTAGTCTTTGAGTGTTTGAACAGCAAAAAAAGTGCAAAGGAAAAAAAAAAACCTTGTCCTGCTACTCATTCATCTGAGCTGTCAGGGTGAGTGTTAAGATGGCAGCGGCTGACCCAAAGAAAACAAGAAGTTCAGAACAAACATTTTCTTTAATGTTTTCATTTCCACATAAAACTGAATTGGTTTCTCTTTTTTCTTCTGCCCAGTGGTCAACACGATTATGTCTTTCAAGTTTGTTCTGGAGTATTTACAGCACGTGACTAAGAAAAGAACCTCTTGTGTTCCTGAGGATTTGCAAAAGTTATTTTCCTTCTTTGTCCTTTTCTTTTGTCCGTTTTTGTTCCTTTTCTTTTGCTTCACCTTCAGGCTTTCATAATTCTTTGTCTTCCTCGTCAGGGATTTGCAGGGGACCTGATGGTGAGGAACATCCAGCTAAGGCACTCTGGAAAGTATGTGTGTATGGTACACACTGACGTGGACACGGTGTCGGCAGCGGCCGATCTAATTGTTAGAGGTACGTCTCCTCCTCCTTTGTGACACTGCTTTTCATTATAAAGCATTCTCTCTGGTGATTTGTCATGCTTTGCTGTTCTGATAAGTCTGCATGCATGTGTATGTAGTTTACAATTAGATACAGGTGTCTTAAAAGATTATAAGGTTATAATTTAACCCTTTTTTGTTGATGTAATGGGATTTTTGTAAAAAATAAAATAAAAAGAACTATTAAAGTGTGCTGAGTGGTGTACCATTATACATCTCTCCATTCCTGCGACATACAGATTTTTTCAGTTATCCCATTGAAAACTGGCCCTTCCACGGCCCTTTGTCATTCAGCTGCCTGTAATGGCCAAATGATGGGAATTCCCCAGAAATGTCAGCCTCATTAAAAAAACAAACATATGGTTGGCTGTAATGTCACGAATAAGAGACATCAAGGAATAACTATGAATGCATCCCTGCTCCTTTTGGTACATTCTCACCATCCCTGTTTAATCACTTTTATTAAACTCTAGTTTGTTTGCTGAAACCAGGGGTTGGCAACCCAACATATTGAAAGAGCTATTTTGGACCAAAAAACAGAAAACAAATCTGTCTGTAGCCGCAAAAAAATGAAGACCATTTTATAAAGTTTATAATGAAGGCAAAAAAGGCTTTAAGTGTTTATATTAGCCTATTATCAAAATGACTAAATGTATACATAATTAGCATTCATAATTAAATGTTTATTTTCCCTGCAGTGCGTTCTGGACAGAATGACGCACCAGGTGACTATTCTGATGTACAATAGAGCTTTAAGTTTACCTTCTGTTACAACATGAATGTATTGTGTTTTTCGTATTGGTAAATTTAAAGAAATTCAATGAAGAAATCAGATTTTTAATGTAATTTTTATTATGAAGATCAACAAGAAAAGGATTCTTTTTTTTTTTTACCTTTTGGAACTTGGAAAATCTGCTCCCAAATGCAGTTCGCATAACAGAGAACTGCATTTGCTGTTATGCAAATGCAGTTTGCATAACAGCAAATGCTGTTATGCAATTTGCTGTTATTATTTATAAAGATTATTTGATCTTTATAAATAATCACCGTTAAGTGTGTGATCGAAAAAACAACAAAACGGAACAAGCTTAACGTGCCCCTTATCTGGGCAACAAACTGAGAGCAATAAAACACAACCTGAAGTTCTAAAATAAAACAGCAGCCTGTTGAAAAAGGAATGTGTCTAAAATTAAATTAACACAGTTTAAGTTTGATTTTTGTGCAAATGCCAAGCAGTGTAATGATAAAACGTAGCAGCATCCTCTTCTCTTTTGACACACAGCCATCCTCTGACCTGAGCAACAAAACACAATGATATCGCGAAGTGTCAATCTAAATATATACTGACAAAAATCTCCATAAAAACAACCACTTTGTTATTAAATACATGTGCCTATGTCAGGATTGTGTTCTTACATGTCTAATGTGACTTCTGTTTTGGGGCATCACTGGACAACTTCTCAACATCAGGCTTGTAAAATGTAACTTTACTCTGAACACAGCAGCTTATGTAACATTCCTTTCCTGGAAATGTCTTTCCACGTTACCGTATTTTTCAGACTATAAGCCGCTACTTTTTTCCTTCGGTTTGAACCGTGCGTCTTATACCCCAGTGCAGCGTAAATACGGACAATTCCAGTTATTTAAAAAAAAAAATGTAGGTGCGGCTTACAGTAGGGTGCCCTCAGTAGTCCGGAAAATACAGTATCATTTTGTTATTTGACAACTTCTCGCTTCAGAGCAAACATTCAGGTAATCCTTCCACATTGGCAATGAATGCAAATGACTTGGTCCAAGAATTGTAGAATCTCTCTTCAGCTATTTTTCTCTTTTCCCCTTTGCTCTCCCTGCTCCACTACAAACCCATCGTTTTGTTTACAACAGCTCCCTGCCTGGCGCCCCGGCCAACTGAAAGAAACTTGTGTCACAGGCTATAATGCAAATCTTTGTTGACGAAATGTTGAAATTTAATATTTATTCTACACATTTTTATAGGATGGGAAAACATTAAGAATGATTCTGTGATGTTTATCCTCTTACAGAAACCATTTTTAAGGAAGAACTATATTTTCTACCCCCATCTTTTTCAAATTTGAAACATTTTTTGAAAACGTTCCAGAGGGCCACTAGGACAGCGCTAAAGAGTTGCCGACCCCTGGCCTAGAAAGTCCGGTTCAATTGGAGAGGTGTGAATATGTAATCAAACACTGGTCTACCTAAAAACTTCAGTCTTTGTCCAGTTAAAGCAAACTCTGGTGTGATTCAAATGCATATGTGAACGGCAAGCAGACCAGAGACAGCTCCAAAAGCAGGAAGTGCAGTGAATTCTGGGTAAATAAAACCAAAACAATAGTGCATGCTAGCACTAGCAGGACGAATGGCTGATCATGTTTTACAAAAGGCAAAATAGAAATCCTACAACTCCAAAAATGTGACACCACTCCATTTTTGTTTACATTTTATGAAGAAGGAAGTTCTTGTCAGTGGTTCTTGTTGCACTGCCCTCACAGTCCAGGAAGGGAACAGGTTTTCAAATGGTTTGGTTGGTTTGACACAATGCAGTGTGAAAGTGAACCAGCACATCTGAAAATGTTGCAAACTTTGAAATTTTGGTCCCCAACTGAACCTTGGTCTAAAAGCGTGAAAGCTTTGTTGGATCTCATCACACCAGTTCAAGATTGATTCTGATATTACATTTCATACATCTGAACTCTGATTACTAACTTCTGAAGGGACCTGTTTTTATTGAGGGGTTGCAGAGGAAAGGTTCTAACTACCAATGCAGGCCACATCTTCCTGATTTGTAGAAATAAAATAGTGTGTCATGACCAATGCATCATGTTCCTTCAACTTTACAATGATTCTCTGTTCTTTTGGTCTTCTGCATAAGATAAAAACCACAAAAGTTCAAGAAGTCTGAATACTTTTACAAGGCACTGTATGGTGTCAGGAGGTTCCAGCTGAACATGTGCTCATATTCTGTTGGAAAATTAAAATTAATACAGTGCAATTTTTAGATTTATAGGTCTGAATGGAAAAACACGAGTGATCCAAATCCCAGTATATTTGATCTCATATTGAAGTCATTAAATAAAAACACCTTTTCATTCCAAATAGTCTGCAATAATGTGTTTTTGTAAAAATGATCCTTTCCTTCACAAGTCCAGAATAGCTATTCAGGGATTCATAAGCAGAATTGTTTTCAGTTTCCTTTTCTTTCTGTAAAGTTAATTATGACACATTTTCAAACCAAATAATTGTTTTAATTGCTGTTTAATATTTGCTTTCAACAAACTTCAATAAAAGCTAAGGAAAAAGATGATAAAACAGACTAATATGGTGATTTAAAAGTATCACAGAAGTACAAACTAACAATGAGATAAATAACTCAATTTTAACTTTATGTAGCAAGTATATATTCATGTAATTTCTGTTATCTTCGTCTTGCTTTTCAGTTATTGTCTAGGAATACATTTATACTTGTAAAAAATATTCACTCCCTTGGATGTTTTACCATCTGTTGTATTTACATATCTAACATAATTAACAAAATTTTGCTTTTGACTTTTTTTGAGAAAAATAATGTTCATGAGCCAATTAGAAAATTTATTTTCAGTTAAATTCAAACATGACTAACTGGAAGTGGATTACTATGTCAAACATTTTGAAACACTGTTCCCCTCCTCAAATGTGGTGGCGCTGCACCAAGAACCACTGAAGAAGACATTTCAAAATATACATAAAATTGGAGTAGCAGCAGATTATAGTGGTTGTAGGATTTCTCTTTGGACTTAGCAAAAGACCATCTATTTTTCCTGCTAGCACTAGGCTAGCACATTTGTTTTGGTTGCATTTACCCAGAATGCTCTGAGCTTTAGTCTCCTGCCTGCTCTTGCAGCGCTTGTGGTCACAGATGCATTTGAACCGTGCCAGAGTTCACTTCAGCTGAACAGAGACAGTCTTAGGCGACTGGAGTTTGTTTTTTTTGGTCCATATCAGAGTTTGGTTACGCCTTCCTGCGTCTCCAAACTAACTGGAGAGTTTGGAGAGGCAAACAAACTGGAGTTGGATAAAGCAGGCTAAGCAGGGCTGATTTAAATGTACTCTTAGAATCTAGAGCTACAAAAGGTGAGGCCATGAGTAACACATACACAGGGATGATTTACAGCGATAAGGCCCTGCTCTTGGTTCTGATTGATTGTTTCCAGTTTGCACTGGGAGAAGGCGGGAGAGTTCCATTTTTTCACAAATTATCTGCTCGTTCCATATATATATATATATATATATATATATATATATATATATATATATATATATATATATATATATATATATATATACATATATATATTAATTTTTTAATTACATAGTGCAGATTTAGAAAAGCTTTAAAATATGTTGTGGTTAAAAAGAATTCTAAATCTTACAGTACAGCAGAACAAATGAGATGGTTGAATAATGATAGTTCTCATTGTGCCAACCTTCCTCGCTGACTCCCTGTGCCGACCACTGCAGCATGACTGTGATTGGGACTCTTAGCCTGTAACTGGGACAGGATGGATTTGGAGAACCATTACACATTTGGGAGAAGGGATGAAGATTCTTTAAGCAATAAAAGGCAGGCTCTGTTTTCTGTATATTTTAAATTCTTTGAAGGTTTCATTGGAAATATTTTCCCTTTCACAGGACATAAAAATAAAGTCTTCACTTTTTACTAAAGGAGTAATTAAAGAATGTTATTTGATTGCAAAGAAAGTTATAAGAGGCCAGCCGTAGCAGGTTGTATCATTTCTGCCCCCATGTCTGCAGTTTATTCCTGAGTCTGAGGCAGAAAGCCTCAGACTCTCTGCCTCTCCCCTGAGCCTCCTGTGCCACTCAGTCTATCTCTCTCTGTCTGTTTATGAGCGTGTTTGTGTGTCGTGGGTGTGGCACATCTTTCACTCTCCGAGCTCTCTGGCTGCTCATCAGCCTGCACACCAGCAATCCGTCTCCCTCTCAGCCCTGCAGTATATCAAACCCGGTTCTTCAACCTTTCATTGCCAGCTCGTTCTTCCAGCCAGTGCGGATCATTGCTCGCCACCCGCTCTCACGCTCGTCTCCACACCTGCCAGTCAGTCATTCAGCCCCGCGCACATCCCGCTCTGCTCTGTTTCACCAGCACAGCATACTCCTCCAATCCGTAGATGAAAAAATAAAATAAATAACAGTAACAGTCAGTTGCACACAATTTGGTTAAATTTTTTTTTGGCCATTTTACAGTTGTAAACAGCTTTAAGTCAGCTCAGGTTACTTTCCCACACAAGGAAATAACATCTCTTGTTCTCTCCAGTCATCTGCATTCAGTATTTTACTGTTGTTCGAGTCATCATCTGATGAACTTTAATATTTGCCATTGATGAGACTGCTTCTCTCAATAGAGCGAGGTTATGAATCACTTTACAGTAGTTTCAGAGTGCAAAACACAAAAGCTAACCTTAAATTATTATTTATTTTTTTCCACATTGACTTCTGTTTTTGATCGTTGCAGGACCCCCTGGTGGCCCTCAGGGTCTTCTAGTGACCGCCATTACTGACACTACAGTGCAGCTGTCCTGGAGCTCTGGACCAGACAACCACAGTCCCATCACCATGTACATGGTTCAAGCTCGGACCCCATTCTCTATTGGCTGGCAGACAGTGAAGACAGGTAAATTAATCTGTATTAAAAACATTAATATTCGCGGTGGGGCTCAATTAATTAAATTAATTGCATTAGCTGTAATTTCTTAATTGCATTTTAATTGAAAACCATATGTCAACAAAAGTACACTGTCACTTCAAAAATCTTTTTTGCTTCTGAACTTTTAAATAAATAGATAAAAAAGCTCAAGAACAAAAAAAAAATGTTTTAACCTGCTATTTAGGTTCTTCAACCATAGTACTGGTGAAACATGATGTCACACTCTTTCAGTGCTTCAGGAACTCCTTGATGCATATATCCTGCATTATTAGCATTGAGATAGATGCTATTTTAAGCATGAATAGATTCACTGGTAGGCTATCTCAGTTTAGCACAAATTGAACACAACAATATTCCAGTCATTTTTTAAACAAAATGAACTCTCAACAGGCCATGACCATTGGTTTGGTCATCCATTGCTGTTGTTTGTTGATGTTGCTTGTGTAAAAAAAAAAAAAAGTATTTGTGTTAATCTCTTTAACACATTAAAATGTATGTAGGTAAATAATCAAAATTACTGCATAAGACACATACAGCCCTACTTAAAATATTGTAGGTTTTATACACAGAATTGTAGCTGGCATGCTGCAGTTTGGTTTGAATCAGGAATAGTTTTTAAGTGGATTTGTTAGGTTGTGTATTTATGGTGACATTTTTTCTATTAATAAAAACCTTCTGTACCTTGACACATTAAAGTGGCCAAGCCAGTTCCAAAAATTTCAGAATATGGTTGAATATAAGAGTAACCTTTAGATTATCACAAAATGTTAGTTTAACGTCAGGATGTGTCTTTAAGGCTCATAGACGTGGAATCCAGAAGTCCAGAAGTCTGTAATGTCTGTGTGTGTCTGTGTGTCTTTTTTTTAATCATAGCAGCAAAACAAAAAAACAACAAAAACTCCAACTTCTCTAGGTGTGTTAAACTGTCATCATCGCCACCATCTTTGCATTGCTTTGGGTTGGAGTGCTTGGGACAGTTTCTTCATCGACCAATTTTATGTGGAGGCACTTATGCAGATTATCTCTTCATCTAAATTACATTTCTAATTGCCTGTTGAAGGGCTCCAGATGGTCAAAACACTGCACCACAGATTGGAGAATTAAAATAACAATATTTTTAGAGCTCTTGAGATGACAGTTACATTCACTGATGACAGAAAAAATAATTAGATTTTTTTAAAATATATTTAATCTTAAGTACTTCCACTGAACAGCTCAAAGTGTTGTCAGTCATATTAATTAAATTGACCACAACAGGCTTCTGATCCTGTTTAGTTAAATGCAGTGACACTTTGTAAATGGAAAAGTTTTAAATTATGAACAACTGTCAGCTTTTCAGACTGCCGTCTCTATTCCTTTTTTAACTTATTTTCTTATATTTATGTTTATTATTTTAATGTAATTGCTTCAAATATTCCTTAAAAAGTAAAAAAAAAAGCAAACAAACAAACAAGCAAAAAATGCCTATCAATTTTTAATTCTTTGGTTCTAGTTCCTGATTCTGTGCCTGGACAGATGATGCGCACAACTGTGAAAGACTTGAGCCCTTGGGTGGAATATGAATTCAGGGTGGTGGCAATCAACAGTGTTGGTGTTGGAGAACCCAGCATGCCATCAAAACAGATCCGAACCAAAGCAGCAGGTACTCTGTCGGCTTGTTATGTCTCTTCATAGAAAATTAAGCAGCCCCCAAGTGGAAAATTACTTGTTTGATTTAGCTTTGCAGCTCATTGTGTTCTTTGCGCAAATCTATTGTTCATGTTATTGTTCATGCTAGCTAGCTCTTTGTTTTACTTAGAAAATGAAAATGAAGCGACATAAAATTCCACTTAATTACTGTAAGTCGCCCAGACGAATGCAGAAACAAGCATTCTGGAACGTGTAGTATTCATTACTTTAGTGGCAGACAGAACTGTGACATCCACCATGAGGAAGCAACGCAAAGAACTCCTATTTGATGCAAAAGAATTTTCTCTACCTGGTTGGATCAAAGAGGAACAAGTTTCATATTCAGCATCTGACTAAATCTAGACTTTTCAACCCAGAGTTTTTCTGTTTTTGCTGTGTGGCTCACATAAATGTTTCAGATCATCAAACAAATGTTAAATGTGTGTAAATATAAAAAATAGTGTTGAAATCATGGTTTTATTTGTTTTGGGGAAAAGTTATTTTATTGTTGAATTTCCTTTGATTGCCTGGCATAATTTGTTGCTTCTTCTAGGTTACATTCAGACAAGTCTTTTGATCCGCTTTTTTAGTTTGGACCAAAAGCGGTCCAAACCACTTGTTTCTGTGAAGTTAATTATGACACATTAACTTTCTGTGCTTTTTTTGTAAGCACTGAAAGCACAATGTGTAAGCAAGCTGTATGGAGATAGTACACTTTTCCAAAATTGAACCTGATTTCGGTACAGCATTGGTATCCAAACTAGTTAAAACCAGTTCATTTATGATTTCACAAGATGAACATTACAGTTTCACAAAGGACCAGGTCGGTTCAGGAAGCTGTTTTATCGTAATAAACAAAATCATCATCTGAAGCCTGTATTCTGTATTTACTCATATTACCTTTGTCTAATATTAAAATTAGTTTGCTGCTTTGAAACTAACAATTGCTGCATTCCCATCATAATTGTGTGCAAAACTGTTTTATCCTGCTACTGTAGATAAATAAGAGATAGAATTAAATTCACATGTGAATAAGTTAGTCATTAAAAACATGCCTCACCATTATTCTCCTACCACTTCCTGTCATCTTCTTTGTGGTTTCTGCCAGTAGTAACATCCAGTTATCCGGTTATTGATCCCCTGTGATGCAAAAACCCCCAAAAAAGCCAAAAAATCACCTCATCCCAGAGCGAACACGTTTTATCAAAAATACCTGTTTTTTCATAAAGTGAATTTATTTTTGTAACTTCAGTTTGCACAATTATATGGTTGATGGAAATGCAGCTAACAATAGCAAACCACTTTTTCCCCGGCTCTGTAACTAAACTGTCTTTACTTCTAACAGAAAATCCAGCACCTACCCCTGTTGATGATTATGTTTCCTTTTTTTTTCTGTTCAGCTCCCAAGGTTGCGCCGGTTAATGTGAGTGGCGGCGGGGGAGCTCGAGGAGAGCTTGTCATTACGTGGGAGGTGAGTGGATGATTTTTGACCGAGTGTTTGCTGTGGCAGAGTGTCCTCCCTTTGATGGGAGATGAACTCTGGCAGAGTTACTGTTCCTGTGGAGGACCAGCTTTGGGTGCAACTGCTTTTTAATTAAAAGCGGAGTCTTTTCTGATTTGCTGCCTGCTGACTCCCTGTGTCGTGTAAATCTAAATGAGGATGGTGAGCCAGAGCCAGTTACAGCATGTAAATCTGAACCTTGGTGACGACTTTACGTATTGTGGATCACTCAGTCCCATAGAGAAGTATATATGCCCCTCAAAAGTTGCTGCAGCTTATATAAAGACGAGAACAACGTGTGGTTGACACAAAAGTATCCACAGTTTGGAACCCTTTCCTCATTTTCTCACAATACAGCCACAGTTGATATTGGCACCTTAGTATCTCCGCTAATTTTGAAAACGTTTAGTTCACTTAGCTTGTTCTAGATCAACTTTTCCTGATAAAAAATAGAAAAAATAGCTCCTTTGTTAACTTACAGTTGAATGAAGTTAAGCACCTGTCATTCTTCAAGTAATTAGACATTTATATTCATGCACCTTTTTCTAGTTGGTGAAAACTGTTTATATATAATTTCCTCTTCCTCTTATGTTCACCATCCAATGTCTGCAATGGAGTTAGTAAAACTCAACAATAGTAAAGCTGAAATTAAACCATGAGTCAAAGGTCTGTTTCAAAGATTCACTTCCGGTGAACCATGCAGGAAGATGTGTCATAATAATTCAGACACTGTTGAGGGAAGTATGTTGCATTATAACATCTGTTGTGTTGCTGACATTGATAAGTTCAGCTTTGTGGGCACAACACATTTTTTGGGTATTCAAGGATCATATAGCATTTATGTGTTAAATGCAGTTTTCACATAAATCTAAATGAAAAGTTTTGTGGTTTTAATTTGACAGATTTTTACAAATGTTTGCATGGTTTGGAATGTTTCTCCAAGGTTGTGTTGGCAAAGGTTCTTGTAGACATTGTGAATGTTGCAGACCAAGCTCTCTCATTCAGTTTGCACTCAGTTGCTTTGATCATAGGTGTTTATTATTTTCTTGTTCCCTCAGCCGGTTCCAGAGGAACAGCAGAGTGGAGAGGAATTTGGCTATCTCGTGGCTTTCCGCCCTCTCGGCAGCAGTACCTGGATCAAAACGGTGCTGGCTTCCGCCGACGTGTCCAGATACGTGTACAGGAATGACAGCGTCGCTCCACTGTCCCATTTCGAAGCCACTGTGGGTGTGTACAACAGTGTGGGCGAGGGGCCGTTCAGTCGGATCGTCAAAGTGCTCTCTGCAGAGGAAGGTGAGGCGTTTGCTCTGGAAAGAATACAAGATGAGGACGGAGATTCCAGAAGGAGTGTGGTTATGCTATTAACGAAGGCAATGCATAATTCATATTTCTGTCCTCCACAGAGCCTTCCACCGCTCCATCAAGAGTATGGGCTCATTCCATATCTGCCTCTGAGATTGAGGTGTCCTGGGAACCAGTTTCTCCCAGGTCCAGCACTGAGAACATCACAGGGTACGAGGTATGAAGCAGAGCAAGAGCTATTCAGAGCCAATTGCATAATGGCTGACCGTGTAATAAGCTTCCATATTTTGATCATATCTGTGGAAGTCAGGGGTGTCCAAAGTGTGGCCCCTCAACTGCAGTACAAGACTGATACAAATTTGGACATATGGTGGATGCAGATGAAGATATTTTATTTATAATCAAGGTAAAATTATTACCAACACAATTTTCGTACAATGGAAGAAGTACAATAATATTTGTCTTTTTTGTAGCTAAGCTTTTATAATAAGTGGGACCACACTTATCCAGACTTTTACTAATGCACTAAATTCAGCTTTTATTCAATTTACTAAACTTAGTTAAATATTAGAAAATATTTTTGGTAGAAAGTGATAAATCTTATCACTGATAATACCCAATTTTTCCAGTCAAATCCAAAAAGAATTGAAAACGGGAAACATTTAATTTAATACAGAAAACAAAAATCTGCATTTACATTTTATTTCTATGATGAATGTATGCCTACAAGATAAATTATCCCAGAAATGATTGAGATAAACAATAATATTGTCACTTTGATAAAACTATAATGGCATAATAATGCAAGTTTTCCCTTTAATTCTGTACAGTACACTCCAAACTGGACCTGGAGGACATTTTAAATAAACGTTAACACAAAAACCAAAACGCAATAAATAAAGAGGAAATAAAAACCACAAACAAGTAAAACCATAAATACAATGGATTATGAAGTCGTAAATAAAATTTGCCTTCAAAATATATTAATCATCAGAATAGAAATTATTGAGCCCATTTTAATTTATTATGCAAATAATTTTTTGGAGACTGCTGCAGCAGATTTAAGAATAAAACACATGCTTTTCTTACAAACAAAACTTTGCTGGATTTTGGGATTTTTGTAGACTGGAGGTCTACAAAAATTGTTAAAAATGAAATAAATGGAGGAAAGGGTGAACATCATATATCATTCCCATCAATAACAGCCTCTCTGCTGAGGAGCAGCTGGGGGAAAACTGAGATAAAAATACAGTTTACTGCTGGAACCCAGATATCTTACTTTTGAGGCAATGCCCAGGTGGCTGGGCCTGTGCAGAGATGTATGGAGCCGACTACATCATTATCCACATCTACTGTTGTAGGATGAGAGCAGAGCAGGCTTACAATGGGAATTTCAATCACTATATTTACTGCAATGACTTTCAATCTGTCACAAACATTTTTTTTTTTGTTTATTCATGATTATGCTTTTGAATACACTTATGAAAAAAATAATGTCAGATATTACAATACCTCCAGTTTCTCTCTATTTTGCAGAAATTCGCGCAAATCAACACAAATTCAGATCCCTGCATTTTTGGCGCTGATGCATAGTTTTGAGTTTACTGCAATTCATTTGCAAAATTGACAAAAAATATTGAGTTTAAGTGGTACTAATACCCATCTGCAGGTGGCAGTATTTCTTATTTCTATTACTGCTCACTCAGTTTTACTTGATATCAAGTTATAGTCTGCGATCAATATGACAAAATGTTGCATCTCATGTCATACATGTAAGCACAAGTATCAAAAAGTTTTTTGCAAATATTTATAAAGTAGCACCACAAAATCAGTGATTTTGATTGCAAAAAAAAATCACAAAAACATTCATGAAATCTTGAGTAGAGTAAATATCTGATGTTAATATAATCCTCAGCAAAAATAATTATACCCTGTGAGATTTTTTCTATTAAGAAATATTAAAAGTACAAACTTCAAGGTGTTTTATTGGAAATTTTGTGGTAAAACATGAAATAGTACATAAATGGCAGGGCCAGTTTTTACAAAAGTAAAAATAAAACATCTATTTCTATTTTGATAAATTTTCTAGATGCAGACTTAACTTTCCCAAATTTAGCTACACCCATCTTTCCTCAAAGCTGATCGCCTTCACTGCCTTTGGTGCCAAAAACAGGCTGAGAACAGGATGTTGTAATTGTGTAATTAGGATGATACTTTGCATTATTACTTTTCCACAAACAGGAGATTTGGTCTGACTTAACTTTAGACAATGAGGAAAAAATGTGAATGCTTTTTTGGTGTATGTAAATTTCTGGTTTCAACTGTGCATTCTCAATACAATCCATGACATCTGTGGCTTGTTGAAATAATATTTTAAATTAGCACAATACTGCACAGGATAGTTTTGATACATATGAAATATACCATAGAAAGTTAAAGTTCACTCTACTTTCACATACATTTAGATAAAGATCCAAACTAAAACAACTGCTGACTCTCTGAACTTATATAAATTCTTAGGGAGGATTCTACAGAAAAGACAGGCCTAGAATCTCTTTAGACAGAGTCTGTCTGCCAGACAATTAACAAATTCCTTAGCATGGTTCAAAAGTTCACTAGGATCTTAAAACTTTTTATAAATGAGTTTATCTATATTAGAATTAAATATATTTCTTTAAGCATGTTTTGAATTAGTCACTTCTTAGATCCACACTTATAGTCATTATTTAGCATTACATTTTGTGCAAGCTTGGTTAAAAAACACCAACTGGTTTTTTGTTGAAGCATTTTGAGGCAGAGATAACGTTCCAGACCCACGCTATAAAACAGATCGCCTAAGAAGGAGATTGGTACGAGAAGAGCTGGGTGTTTCAGTGGGTCTCAGAGGTAATAAAATTAACATTTAAGACAGCCCACACTGAGGAAAAAAACCACACCTCCTAATGCATCTATTTAAATGAGGAGAATACACATTCTTATAAAATGGTTTGTTTTGAAGCAGAAGTTCGAATCTCTGTGTGCTGAGTGAGAGTTTCCCAGAAGATGCATCTTTTGTTTCTGTCCTTTTTACTCAGTTAATTGTTTCTGTTTTGTCATGTCTTGGACTTTTGATAATCTAGGTGAGATGCTTATTGTAACATTCTTCTTGCATTGATTTTCTCTGGATAAAACTCTGGATATCTGAAGTCTGACACCGTATGATTGCTCTTTTCTCCCTGCACACGTATACAGACACAAGAATCTAGGACAGAGGAATAAATTAATGAGCTAAATCAAGTTATTCCTCATTTTATTTCTTAACAGGCTTTAAAATGACAAAATGTGACAATGTCCAAAGGGTTTGAATACTTTTGCAAGTCACTAGACTGACTGGGCACCTTTCACCAGACAGCACCTTCCTTCCTGGAGTCCTTGAAAATAATTGAAATGGAAACTTTGTAAGCTGAGGAAAGTACAGGAATAACCTCCATCTGAGGCTCTGGTAGCTGTTCCTGAATCTCCCAGAAGAGGCTGAACCAGGAGAGTGAGACCTGAGCGCTTCACCCATTTATTATGTCCTGTCCAAACACTTTACCAGAACTCACAGCCTGTTATTGTGTATCAGAGGTTTGTAGCGAAGAGGAAGAGAAAAATGTATCTGTGGTTTGGTTGTTTTTCACTGTCATTATTGTCAGCGTTTTAAATGTTAACTCATTCACCTCTTTACAAAATACATTATGAAACCAGGAACAAGTAAGACATACAACAGCAGATGCTACATGGATCAGCACCGTAACAATAGGAGTACGGTAGGCGAGGCGTCTCAGCCCATTCAACACCTGTGGGACCAGCGTGGGTGAACTGTTGGTGCCAGAATGACAAACACAACCAAACTGGCTGATCTGGAATAGATGCTTGTTGAAGAATGATGTGGCATATCGCAGGAGTGAGTGAACAGCGTTAGAAGCCAGATTGATGTGGTTGAGTTATAGTTCTTTTGTTTAAGACTGTCAACTCAGTAATTGTTGGGGGTTACATTACATGAGCCAGCACAATCAGACTAAAGTAACACAGAACTGGATACGGGCTATGACTCCTGAACCAGACCATGTTAGAAATGACTTACTTGGGTACTGTCGAACATACCTATACTAAACCCAGTGGAGAATCCATGGGGTATTGTCGAAATAAAGATCAGAGAAACCAGAACAGAAAACACAAAATTTAATTACATCAACCATAACTGATGTGGTCCACTTACAAAGGATAATATCTATAAGATCCAAATAAGGGAATGTTGATGAAAAAAAAACTGCAGAATAATTTGTTCGTCAAACGTGATATTTGAGTTTTATGGTGTCTTCCATAATACATCTTCCATGTAAAGTTTTCTTTAGAATCTCCGTGTGTTTCTGAGTAATAAATGTTCTCATCAGGAGAAAAGTAAGAGAGTTCACTGGTTTTTCTGTGTTACCAACAAGGAACCATACAGCCATTTAACATGTTATTGGAAAGGTTTTTTTGTCATGCTGCTCCAGACAGTGGAGTTACATAATCTTACATCATTATTACAATGTGGAAGGACATTTCTGGTTTCCAGGATGTGGCCTCATAAGCTGTTTATGTAGAAAAAAAATAGTTTTAACTGACTTTTCTCCTTTCAAACACAAAGAAAAAGCTATTTGCGGCTTACTTGGTTTAATATTTTAAATATATGTATGGTTTATGTCTTAAATGTTCAGTATTTGGCCTGTAGACATGGTATAACACAGACAATACTTTGCTGAGCACTTCAAAATAAAGAAAGACTGCTTTGGACTTTATTCAGTATGTAAAGAACCACACACTCAAATATTGAGCCGAATTCACAAAAAAGTACCCTCTGCTGTACTATACTTCTAATGTCGCACAATAACATTTAAGTATGCAGCAAATAAACAAATAAAAGAACTAATTTGTCTATGTGGACGTTTAAAATCGTAGCAGAGGAGCAAAAACTGACCCGCTCTCTTCAGCCGTTTCAGTTATTTTCCAAAGAGTCTGGAAAAGCAGCTATAATTGAAGTGCAGTGAGGAAAGAAACACCCTAGATGAATGTTATCAGCAACTCCAGCCCTGCTGCTAATCTGCCTTTCCTGAGCAAGATGTCTGAGAACCTGCGTGCTTCCATCTGAATAAGTACCTGCTCTCATGCCATCTGTTTGACATTTCCTGTCTGCTCCTCCTATCTGGTCATAAATGATCTCCCTATAGATACTGATTCTGACACCCTCCTAATCCTCGTACTCATGTTGTTCGCCTTATTACTGATTTCTTTAAGATTAAATATCATTTAGGAATTTGAAATTGTGACTTGGACTATGTGTGGACTTGTGCTTCTACCATCCAGCGTTGATGTTTTTCCTTATTTTAAGAATGCGATACTGCTTTGCAATAAGAATGCATCTGTATGCATCTGATCTTAGAGGCAAAACATATTTTTACATTGTTCCCAAAATAGTTTTCTACTACAGTTAGCCTTTTATCTAATCAAACATTACAAAAAAAGATTCAGGAGGTGTGTAAATAACTGTGATTACTTTGGTTCAGGTTCTCTTTTGGGAGGGAAGCTCTGAGCAGCGTGAAACAGACAGAATGCGGGTCACCGACAGCTCGGCGCTGCTGTCCGGTTTAAAGAGCAGTACGGTCTACCTGATCTCAGTGAGAGCCCAGAACAGTGCCGGACTTGGTCCCTCTAGCCCCTCCATCAGCGTCGCAACCAAAAAACCACGTGAGTGATCACCACACACCAGACAGGAATCCATCATCTTCTCTTATTTACTTGCAACATTGTTTCCTGCTTCTTACTTTTCATTTATGATCAAGCAGTTAGTGGTCCAAATGAAGCAACTTTGAATCCTATTGCTGCTGTGCAACAGCAGCAATAGGATTCAAAGCTGCACAAGTGACAGCTACAAGCTGTCACTTGTGCATCAGGTAAACCAGGGAACCAGAAACACATGAATACAAAGGTTTCACTCAGAAATATTGTCTGTACAATAAAATAAAATTGTATAAAATAAAGTGATGTTACAGTCCATATTAAATCAGTCCAGAATATGACTTCAGTCTAAAATGTTCTCAGAGGCTATTACTGCATTTGGAAACAGGTTTGATGTGCTGGATCAACTACTGATTCATGTGCAGTCTGCTGCATCACTTACAGGAAGTTTCAATGGTCTGTATACTTCTTAGAGCAAAAACCAGAAAAGACCTTCAGAACTTTAGTGCAGTTTTTGGAATATCTTTAAAAACCAGGTAACCTACCAGATGTAGCCTCATGGCTGTACATGAGGCTACATCATGTACAGGCTACATCATGGCTACATCATGTGGTGTCTCTGGAGGGCAAGCCGCTGTGATACAGCGGCGGCAAGCCGAGCGGAGTCAAGCCAACCGCCGTGCCTTCAGGACCGAAGCAACCAACCCCACCTGAACACCGTCACTTCACCCAGAAGATTGCTCTGTCTATATCCATGTCCTGAAGGTGTTAGTGTCTTTAGGCTTCTTTGTTTCTATTTTAATTAAAAACAAAGAAGCCTTTGTTTCTTCTTATGTTAATTATGGTTCCTAGTGTTAATTATGGTTCTTCAAAAGTGAGAGTTTCTGTAGTGAAAACAACTATTGATTTGATCCATTTACAGCCTTCCAAAAACAACTGCATCTGACAAGATGCTTTCAGAACATTGCACTAAGTCTTGAGATGCATTTTTGCACTCATGGATGATTGGAAATTTTCTACTAAATGTGCATTTGGTCGTTTTCTTCAGTGGTTTTCTGAAAGATTACAGATTGATAGATGTGGGGAATGGAAATCCAGTTAATTGAAACAGAGGAAATGTAGACGCATCCTTTGAATTTTTAGACTATTAGACAAACTAGAAAAAATACTATAATCGGCAGTGGTCTGGCAGCTGTTACTACTTCACTTTTTTTTTTCTTTCTATTGTGGAATGCACTTTCAGACCTACTTTCACTTGATTAAAGTTCCTTTTTATAATTAGAGATTTATATAAAGGAACAGAGCTTTATACCCAACATTCTCAATTGAAAAACTGTTTTTGCTGCTAAATTATTGAATAAGTAGATGTATGAGTTCCATGACAGAAACAATATATCAACAAGGTATAATGATAGAAGACATACCTTCTGTCAACAAACAAAGATTTCTCTTATTATACATTATTTTAATTACTGACCATGATTTTTCAGTCCTTTGTATCTGAATCAATGTTTATTTCGGTAATAAAAGACTGGTGGAGCCAAGGTCTTAATGTTAAAAGGACCAGTGTGGGAGCTTTTGTTTTTCTGTTTTAAGCCATTCTGTTGCAGATTTGTTGGCAAGGGATCAGGTGAACTGAACCCATGAAAATATTTCTATCTCTGTTGATAGAAAAGCATAAAGGTCTTCTCATCTTTCTACTTTCAAGGCAAACAGAAGATGACAGAAGCTGGACCAGAATAAAAAAGGGATGGTTCAAAAATTCTATTCTTCTCTTATCTTTGAAAATGGACATGTTTCAAAATAAGAGTATTTTCTGAATATATCTGGCACCTGAGGGGACATGAACAAAAATCTGAGGTCAGTTCAAACACATTAATCGTATGAAAAAGATATGTGTATACACCTTCTTTTTGTGTTTCACATCTTAATATTTCATATCAAAGGCGTTTTATTTTGAAAGAGAGAGTATAAAAAGAATTTTTAAATGATGAATCCATTAGTTAAAGGAAAAAGCTAAGCTAATAGGGCTTTATGTGGACATGGAACTGAGCCTTAACTCCTAAGACTTTGCATTCGCTTCAGGCAGTTTGTGGCCATCCGAAGACGAGTGAAGCTGTAAAGGGAAGATGGAAACACATTTGAAACTCAAATAAGATCTGATGTATGAACTTTCCCATTCATCAGTGGTTCTGTGCCTTACCTGAGAAAATCCAAAGCTCCAGCCAGGAGAGGAGAACTCTCTATGTTTTTCTGATTGCAGTCAAAATATGCCATCTGGTTTGTTACAGCCATGTAACAAACCAAAACAAAATTATGTTTTGAGTAGCCTGGTTGATTTTGCACCAAAACAGTAGATGAAATTCCTATTTTGCTTTTTTTTTTTTTATGAAACTTTTTGAATCACTCCTTCATGTTTTCTCTTTATCTCAGGACTGATTAGTGCCTGACCAGTAGAAAACTCAAATCGCCATTGGATAGTTCCATGTTCCAAACCAATACTGAGCAAAAACACAGCAAAGGTCCATGTCACATCTGTCAAAATACATGTTGAGGATCCCTAGGTATTGGAAAATATTCTGACGGAAGAAACATCCACAAAATTGAATTTGTTGGAATGTGAGTGTTGTGTTAGCATTGATAGCATTTGTTGCCACCAAGTATGATGAGGTTATCTGAAATCATATTGATTTCAGATAACTGAATCCTATTACCACTGAAAACCAGCATTTTGTATTTACACACCATGTGTGTCTGATATTCAAATCTGTTGGATGATTTGAAACATTTATGTGTGACATAAAAGCTCAATCATCAAAAGTCTGGGTTGAATGAGGACAAAAGAGGACTCTTACCACTTGTTTTATAAAAAGCAGCGGTAACATTGGCAGGCGAAACCTCAAAGGCGAATAAAATAAAGCTTCATCTTTTTTTTCTGTGCAGCACTACAAATGCTTTACTCCAAGTCCTTTCTATGGCTGTAATTCCAGAGTGCAGCTATACTTATTCAAATTTTCAATGACTTTCCAAGGTGATGCTGTTTCCAGTTTTGTACAGTAACGAAGTAAAAATACTTCACTACTTTACTTAAGTATATTTTGGAGTACTTCATACTTTCCTTGAGTAAGAAAATTTTTGATAACTTTCACGTTTACTTCACTACATTTCTGAACTTAATTGCATACTTTTACTCTGATATATTTTCAATGTGTGGTTTAGTTACTCGTTACTAAAAAGCGAGAGAGAAACGCAAGTGTTTTGATCCCACCTACCGAACAACTGCAATAAAGCCTGCTTGCCTGGGCTTGTTCATCACCACCAATAGGATGCACAGGTTTCGCACCTCCCCACCTACGTCAAAAAGTTCAGCAAATAGTCTGATTGGTCTGTGCTCCGTTTGTGTAGGTTTGTGCTGTTAAAATTTTCGTTTGTGCAGTTTTGGTTTCCGAGATATTAAAAATGATTTTTTAGGTCATCCAGAGTTACCAGCCCCCCGTTTTGCTCCAAAACAAACCAAAGTGGGCTGGTTCGTTAGTGCTCCGTTTGTGCAGGTTTGTGCCGTTAAAACAAACGCAGCAAGGTTGTTTTCAATTTGGATTTTGGCTATTCCAATATCTGGTGTGAGCGGCGTCTAGCTCAAGGTTGATCTGGTTTATGAACGCTAATTTCGGCCAGCCGTTCTCTAGGTCTCCCCCTTCCTCAAGGTGTCGAAGTTTCACTCAGGGAGAGTCAACAAATTTTACATCCAAACTCTCCTGAGAAACTAATGGAAATAGATTTCTTGCCTTGTGACCAACTGACACAAAATTCATGCTGTTACACGAGACACACTGTTCTCTAGTAAATTTTTAGTCATACTCAATATTTTCTGGAATTATAATCTTAAAAAGTATATATTTTGGATGACCTAAAAAAATCATTTTTAATATCTCGGAAACCAAAGCTGCACAAACGAACATTTTAACGGCACAAACGGAGCACTAACCAATCAGAGTATTTGCTGGATTTTTTGACGTAGGTGGGGTGTCAGCTTCACGGAGGTCTATTTTGCTTCTCCCATTAAACACCAAGTTAACAAAAAATCTCTCCCTCTTCAGATGCCAAATAAGCTGCATTTCTCTCCCAATTCCTTTTTTCTTTTACATAATGACCAGTTGTGTGCACCTATAGTTTGTGAAGTAAAGTAATCGTAACGGCTTTTTTTCTTTATGTTGGCCACATTTTGGCCACTATTTATTTTTCTCATTTTCAGCACTGACTTTACTGAAAGGAAAAACTTAAGGCTTACAAAAACGTTGTATTTTCTGTCCTGGAGGGTTTACTAAGAAGCTGGTTCAGCTTCTTAGTAAACAGGTTAAGTTAACCTTGTGGTTTAGGTAAAGCACCTAATTTTCTTAACTAAATAATGCCTGCAGGTATGTCTATTAGCAGGTTTAATTTTGCCTGCACTTGGTTGTGTATATTATTTTAAGTGTATTTGACAAGTTTACCAAAATATAAAAAATGTCATTCAAACTACATTTGCCTTGTTTTACTTTTTACTTGTACTTTTCATTACATTACTTGAGTACATCCATTTTTACAGTAATTTCCATACTTAAGTACAAGACTTTTCAGGTACTTTAATACTTTAACTCAAGTAACATTTCAGTCAGTGACTTGGACTTTTACCAAAGTCATATTTTGGAGAGGTACTGATACTTTTACTTGACTCCGAGATTTCAGTACTTTATACAACACTCTCTGTTTCTTGCAGAATAATTCCTACATTTTTAGCTCTGAAGCAGGTCTGTGCTTTGATGCTCTTTTTAATGTCGCTTCTTAAATATTTAGACATTTAAAGCATCACAGATCAACATACAAATGCAAAATAATTTTTACAGCTGTTTCACATTTTGTCACATTAAAGCCACAAGTTCTGTAGTTACTGGGATTTTATGTGACAGACCAACAGGAAGTAGTAAATCTAAAAAAGATTGACAATAACAAATCAGAAATGGTGTTGTGTGCATGTTCATCCCCCCTTTTCTCCAGTACAATTCAACAGGTGACTTATCTTGAGAAGTCCCCTAATTAGTAAATGTGTGTAGTTTTGGGTGTTTTCACTCCTGATAGTCTGGTAGATTTTATTCACTTGAGGAACAAAACTGCAACATGTTACATTTTCAATGTGAAATGAAACAGAAAACTCTTTGATCTAACTCTTTACACCCAAAATTGTTTTTTTTGGGGGCGCTGCTCCAAAAACCACTGAAGGAAGAGACACCAAAACATCTGAAGAATAAACTTAGCCCAAATTTCTTTTTCACCAAATGTAAACAACATGGAGTTGCATCAGATGTTATTGATTGTAGAATTTCTCTTTTCTGACCCCAAGTTATCTCCTGCTAGCGCAAGATGCACGTTTGTTTTGTTTAGATTTTCTCAGGATTCCCGTTGCTTCCTGCTTTTGGAGCGGTCGCTGGTTCAATAAGAGTTCACATGCGTTGGACGTCATGTGAGTTCACTTCAACCGAGGTAATAAATGGACCAAAGTTTGCCTTTTTGGTCTGCATCAGTGCATAGTCACACCAGATAATCTAGACAATCAAACAAGACTTTGATTAAAGCGGACTAAATTCTCCCAATCCCCCTAGTCACACAGATTTGTTAGGATGAATTCACACCAGACCTGTTTAGTAGTTTTAATCCAATTCCCATTTCATGTGATCAGAAAATCCAGTTTGTTTGGGGAAGTGTGAACGCACAATGGAACTCTAATGTGGATCATAAAAAAGCCAACTCTGGGGCGCCCAGACTTCTCTAGTGTGGTTTAAATAAGGAGTGCACTAATTGCAGTTTTCTGAACGTTTTCTTATTATCGATCTTTAAAAAGCCTGACCTGCCAATTCTTATTTTAGCCAATATAATTGTTTTTTGTCTGGATTGTTCTTAAATATGGCATGAAAATTCATAAGTTGGAAACAGTGGGGTGACTATTGTAAACTGCAAAAGTGAAGACATGACTTGGTGAGTGGGTCTATCAGTTCAACCTCTCACAGGAAGAGGACAGTGGCTGATTTTTAGACTTGCTGAGGTGGATAAGATCAGCTTCACATGTCCACATGTGAAGATTCCGAAAGCAGAAAATGAACTAAAGCACAGGGCATTCTGGGTAAATCCAGGTAAAACAACCACACAGGCCTAGCATTTGTGTGAGAAATATCTTGTGGTCTTTAGCCAAAGACAAAAGAGAAATCTTACAACCACTAATTCATTAATCAGACACCACTCCATTTTTGTTTACATGTTGTCAAGAATGAAGTTGGCTCAGTGTCTTCTTCAGAGGTTTTGTGTCTTCCCCTTCAGGGATTCTTGGTGCAGCGCCACCACATGGGAGGAAGGGAACAGGTTTCTCAAAGGGTTTGTTTTCTTCGTTTGACGTAGTGGAGTTTGAAAGTGAACCACAGCAGCTGGAAATGTAACAATTGTTGTAATTTATGAAAGCTAGACTTACAGTAAGTGTGTTTACTTTTTATTTGTCAAAGCTGCAAGAGTTGAATGAACTAGAGTTTTTAGGTTAGCACTTAAAAAATCTGAAAGAAGAAAAAAGACATGAGTGGGAACTATTTCCCAGCATAGTGAGATGGAAATGTTTTACATTGATCTGACTCTTGTGTGTTTAGATAATTGTTTATTTTAATGCATCTGGTAGGTTGCAAAGCTTTCATTTTCAAGTTAAACCACCGTCAAATGTTTTACAGTGTAGGCTTTGAAAACATCCTTGAAGAGCAGAAACTTTTGAAACAAATAAACCTTTGAGGGAAATTAGCAAGAAGAAAACTGAGGTCCATTTAATACCTCGGTTGCAGTTCACCAAGTTTGAGTGCTATGGAATCTTTGTAAAGCTTCTGGATAATTCCACAGTTTTAAACAATACTGTGAGAATTTGAGCACTACTGAGGTGCTTAATTGAAAAATGAACCTATAAAGACATGATTGCTGCTTTCTAGGTGGGTTGTTAATGTTATCCCTTTTACCCAGCGGTTTCACAAATGGACAAAACCAGTGGACAAAACCAATGGACAAAACCAATGGACAGAAGCATGAGTTTTACTGAAGTAAGACACAAGTGTCTTACACTTACTTTTACTGAAGTAAGTGTCTTGCTTCAGTAAAAATCAGGCTAAAGTCTAATTTGTTGCACTCTATGATTAAAAGATGGCCTACCGCAGAGGCAGAAAACACCATGGATAACATTGCTTTAGTCATTCATCCATCAACATTGTCCATTATAATTTGCATATCTTGCAGCACCACGCCAGCCTCCGGGGGCCATTGAGTGGAACCTGACCAACTCAAAGATCTTTCTGAAGTGGGAGCACGTCAAGGCGTCGCAGAATGAATCTGAGGTGACGGGATACAAGGTGAGATTTTCCAGAGAAACAGGAGAAGTGTGGAAACAAACGTGGCCTCGGCAGCTGTCATCTCAACAAATGGCTGTCTCTTTGCGGAGGAGAAACGAACCTCAGCAACCTCGGTGTTACAATATGGATTGGCCCTGTCTGGCCCCTTCAAAATTAAAAGATCTGTCCCTGATGATAAAACGAAGGGCGTCAGGCTGCAGAGAGAATTCAGCTTCTTCTAACCAATACACATTTGATCCACTTTGCATACTTTCTGTGGATGAAAACACAGCTTCTGATTATTCTTTTCATAATATATATTTCTTCTCCCGAGATATGTGGCCCCGGTCATTTAAAGATAAGCCTCCTGTGGAGCTGTGGTATAAGGAAGCACATATGCCTTAGATATGCCTCGTTTATTAAAAATGCCTGATGCAAATCCCTGTATTTCTAATATGATTTCATATTTTCCAAACTATGCATCCAATTTTCCATCTTCTTGTTTCCTTTAAGGGTCAACACAGGACACTTTTATAACAAAGACACAGCGTGACTAAATGTTTTAAAATAAGGCCAAAGGTCCTGTTTCATGTCCTCATCTGATTCACTGTTGACTCACTCGAACAAATTATGTCCTCAAAAGACATTTTGAAATCTTAAGAGGCAAAAAAAAAAATTTGCATTTGACCACCGTGACATTTCTTACTTCTTATTTGGGTCAACTCATATCTGGGTCAAATATGGATCGACCCAACACTGGACTAGTTTAACAAAATGGGGTTGGATTATGGTTTTTATGGAATTTACTGGATCAGATTTTCTCAAAAAATAAGTCAAAGTGACTTATCATGATTTTAATTGTAGCAAAAAAGGAGTTGAAAAGACTTTCTTACACTTTTATGCAAATTTCAATAATTAATATATTGTAAAGCTTACATACAGCTCACAATATCCGGATCTCCGGTTACATGACTGTTTTTTGGGAAACTCAGACTCTATAAATATTTTTTTCGTAAGTATTTCATAAATCTCACTTATGAAACCTGAAGTCCATAAACTGATATTTTCATGTTTACTTAATCTTTTGCTAATGCAAATCAGATTGAAACTTTTTGTGTTTTCACAAATCGGATGTTCCTTAATCTGAAACTGTGTTTTAAAAGAAAGATATCGTCATTTAAATTCAGTCCAAAATTATTAAAATTGATTTTAATAATTTTAAGAATCATTAAAATTGATTTTAATGATTTTAACAATCATTAAAATCAATAAAATAAATTGCTTTACTTTTGGGCTTGTAGTAAGCTGTAAAACAGATGCTAACTTTATCGTCATTAGCAACTAACAGTTAGCTGGTCATTTACGAGCTGAAGTCAATTATATAAAATTTGGATAATAGGTGACATGATTGTTCTGACTGCAGATGTTTTGAAAACTGTTTAGTATGATTTAGTACAATATGTGGCAGAGGCACAAATTTGATTTTTGGGGGGCTAAAAGATCGGAATTATGCCTGCCATGAAAACACAGGTTATGGATTCCACAAAGGTAAAAAAAAAAAATCTGGGTTAGGACCATATTTCCCAGCTGTGTGATTGTAGCCTAAGTCTCAAGCATGGACACATCAGTGTGTGAAACTGGAAGCCAGTTAATATCTGACAGCCAGTGTTTTACCTCAGAACTTTGTTGTTTTTTTTTTTCTTTTACCTCAGAATTACCTGATGTGAAGCTAACAGGTGAAACTTTAACAAGGGCGTAACTGTTGCCTTGCCATGTTTTGGCACTTATTATTAGTGTAATTTTGTGATCGCATTACCCCCTAACATAACTGCCCATTAGTTTGACCTCCTGGGGAATTTTTTTGTCAAAAAGTTAATCCAACTTATCTACCACTAGCTTGAAGAAACTAATTAGCAGATGAAAGGGTAATATTGTCTCAAGTGAACGAGCCCAGCCTTGGTCACTGGTGTGAAATTTTTCCATCAACACAACTAACTGACATTAACAATGCTATCCAGCATCATTTGATCATCTTACCATTTCTTATTTCAGCATGTGAAAGAGTTATTACAGAGTGATGAGTCTCCTCTTGGACTCTTTTCTAATCCAACAAACTTAGTCACAGTTACTGAGCCACTGTTAACACTGTTTAACACTATTTAAAACTGTTTAAAATTTTTAACACTGTTTAAAACTGTTTAACACTGTTAAACACTGCTAAACACTGTTTAAAACTGTTAAAACTGCTTAAAACTGTTTAAAACTGTTAAAACTATTAACACCGTTTAACACTGTTTAAAACTGTTGCAAACTGTTTAAAACTGTTGCAAAATGTTTAACACTGTTTAAAACTGTTAAAATTGTTTAACATTGTTTAACACTGTTTAAAACAGTTTAAAATTGCCTGGCTCTCTGTTTGAACAGAACAAATCCAGCACTTTTGTTTTGTTCTGTTATTTATATACATCCTGTGAGATGTTGAATGACTTGAGTCCTCTCTTCCTGTTGAAAACTTAACAGCACTTCAATATGTCCAAACTTCATATTGTATCTATGGTAACAACAAGCATAAAATAAAGGTTGAAGTAAACTTGCCAATTCCTTTAAGCTTTCAATGTAAAAATGTAAACAATGAAATATAATCTAGGCTAAAATCTAAATCTTCTTATTCTCAAAAAGCAAATATAAAAATTGTAATTCTGGTTTTATGAAAAGCTCTGGATGGCTCAGCAGTGGCCTAGTCATTTCTTCCCCTACCCCAGACCATCATATAAAGATATTTTATAATTATTAGAAATGTTATCCTTCAGGTTGTGTATCGCCAGAGCTGGCATGGCAGGACTACAGTACTGCAAACCAACAAGACCAGCATTGAGCTTCGGGTCCCTTATGGGGAGGACCATGTCATTGAGATCACAGCGCTGACTGAGGGGGGCCATGGCACCAGCAGCAGTCCCATTCACATACCAAAGATGTCCAGTAAGTTTCAAACACTTTGTAGTCTAGAAATAATCAGAGGCAGAAATAGACAGGGGAATGGTGGAACCAAACCCCAGAGTGATGCTGTATGAGTTTTACCGAAGGTTCATCAGACTGCACTACCAAACTCCAAAATCAGTTTGATGGAACCCAAATAAAATTCTAACATTGTTCAAAAACTGTCACTGTCTGTTTTAGTATGATCTGAGTTAGCTTAAAGCTGAAGAGAAACATTAATAAAGCTTCAGTAGGTAAATTTCATAAACCATAGTTTTTTTTGTTGTTTTTTTTTTACATATTTGTTATTAACATTTTGTAACAGTTTAGCATACTACAGATAATAATTATGAAAAAAAAAATCAAGCACCTCTGCCACCTCCGTGTAGCCCTATTGCCATCTGCAGAAATACACCGCTTAACCTGAAACAACCAATCAGAGCCAGGAGGAGGGTCTTAGCCCCATCAATTACACTCATATACATGTTGCCCAGACTGTCCAGACATCACCATAGAAAATGTTTTGCATCAATAACAATAGTTTGTGAATAAAAATGCAAGATTGACTTCAAACCACTTTTTAAAAAATAATTAATATCTACATGATGACATAGGAAATCAATAGTGACTCTGGAATCAGAAAAACAGTAGACCTCCAGTTTCCAACAGTTGGTCTCTAATTCCTGTTCATCACATTCTTCATCATCAGAATTATGACTGTTATCTTACGAAGCCTCATCATTACAGCGGCATCTGTAATCTGTTGTCATTAGAAAATTATTATCTACAGTGTTTAGGTGTAGTGTAAAACAAGCAGTGGGTTACAGCAGATTACTCCAATTACCAACTAGTAAACTGACACAAACCTGCAGCACGAGAGTACAGCATCATCCATGGTTTAGAAACATCCTGCCTGAGACACTCTCACATGGAGTTGGAAAATTCAAGATTTATGATATTTTGTGGTAAAATTGTGACAATAAGTTACTATAAGATCTTTTTTTTTTGATTACCATATGAACAATAATAGCAAATACTACTCTTCAAAAATATTCTCATGTATAACACGCTTCTTAATGTGACACGATTCTAGTCACATTAAGAAGTAATGAGCCAAACCACACAGTATCTGCATTTAATCTGCATTGAATCATGTTTTCAAATGTGATTTGAAAACATCACATTTGAATCGATAAAAATATGAATTGATCACATTATGAATTGATGATCTCATTGAAAATACACGATAAACAATACTCACACTATATGTTTTTTCTTCAACAACATACATTTGTAGGACGTTTTGTGTATGAAAACATAACAAGCAATTTCATAATACAGATTTAACTCCAACATTTTGATTATACTGTCCATTATATTGTTTTATAACAATCCTCCAATAACAACCAGTTTCAAACTTAACAGGCTTTCTAATTCCTGACTTTGTGCTCCACAATGCTCCTTGTTTAAATATAAAATACACAGAAGACGTAAGTGAAGTAATACAGTAACATATGAGGATATTCTGTTTTTTGTTTGTTTTAAGTGAACCTATTTTATCTTGCAAACATTTTCTTTTTTTTCATTTTCTTCTTAGGTCTGAACTCAAGAGGATCTGTGGCTAGAATTCCAGTGAAGATGTGCTGTTTTATCCCCTTTGGACTTCATTTATTAATCCATCTACTGATGCTACTATGCTGAAAATAAACGCAGTGTATATTTTTTCCTCCTAAATGTGACATTTGTCAAACAAATGGTGGCAACTGTAAAATTTTTCAGCCTCTGGTTTCCAAGGAACAGGAGCGGAGTGATGGAACCTTGGTGAAAGGTTGTCAAATGTCCACAAAGTGCTGCTCTCAGGCAACGGCACAAAACATCTCCTGCTGGGCTGCAACACTGCACAATGCATAAATTTGTCAAAGCTGAAAAGTGGACCTTCTCTCCTTTCACTGACAAATGAATTTGAGCACAGCTTCATGTCCCTTTTTTATTTATGTGTGTGCTTATTTTGCATTAATGTTAAAGTCCAGTTTCAGCTTGTTTTGACGTGAAAACTCTTACCTTGGTGCACAAATTTCTCTCTCAACCAGCAGGTTTGAAAGAAAAGCATCCTCTTCGCTTTGTTTCCTGAGGACAAGCAGTTGAGCCTTGACATTTTACTTCAATATGAAAGAAAAACCTTTGAAGGAATTGTAAATATCTGTTACCATCATCTGTAGTCACCCCGAGCTAATGAAAATACACTTTTATGATACAGGTTAGAAATCTCCCAAGATAAGAAGAAGACATCTGTTTTTTTTACCTGTATCTGTTGAAGGCAATAGTAGTTCAACAATAAGCATCATTAGCTTAGCAGCTTGAAACAGAAGTTCTCGAAATGTTCAACTTCCAACCCAAAAGATAATAACTGCACAGAGCTGAGAATCCATCTACTGGAGGTTGAATACAAAACAAGTTATTGCTCTTGGTCAGCTTATTATTTTTGTCACATTGTGCTGTAAGTTTTCCATGACCCAGAGTTGCTGTTGACACCAAACTTAAACTATGCTGGGAAGTGACTTGCAGCATTTCAGTTGAACTTATCGGCTGTAGCTAAATATCTAGATTCTTGAGCAAACCCCAATTGCAGTGGATGAAGACCCCTCTATGCTCTCTCTGGAGTACATGATGAACAAAAAGTCTGCATGTTCCACTGATCACTGTGAGCTGATGACATAGAAGATCTTTTTATCAAACTGTTGTAAAACATAAATACAGAATGATTACTTTTCCATCTCCTCTAAAAATCAATGACAGAACATCTTTTTGACATCATGACATGTAAATGTATCTTTTAAATTATAGCCTCAATACTCAAAACTTTCTTTGGCCAATGTGTTGCAAAATATTGGAGTGTGAACGCTTCTCTACATCTAGAAACTTTTCCTTAGGAAACCCAGCACACAGTGCTCTCCTTTTCCCAGGTGCCTGATCAAGCCTCCATTAGTGCAGAAACTGAAATATATGAATCCAGCTGCTGAATGAGAACAGCAGTGAGTGGCTCAAGTGAAAAGCTAAAACTTACCACAACGTACTTCAGAGTTAAATTCTCTCCAGCCGTCATGCAGTTGAGGGTTTACCCAGGGCTTTATGTGACTTAGCCTGAGACCGTTCACATTCTATTATTTTGCTAAATCGGGGAGTTTTTACCTTCCGTCTTCTGAATCTGAGAAATAATATGCAACACTTTTTATTTTCCACATGCGATACTTGGGACAAAATCAATGAATGCATCTCACCCAGTACTTTGTTTCAGCTCAGCCATTGGCATTGTTACTATTGGCACTTTATTGGAGCGATCGGTTCCTGCTAACGCAGCGTTGTGGCAGAATAGGAGCAGATCCATCATTAAAGTAATTAATAACAGGTTTGCTGCTCCCTCTGAAATTAGGTAAAGTCTCCACTGTGAGCAGAGCTGCTCAGTAACCACATGCTCAAACTTATAAACATAATTATATTAGAACAACTAATGGCTAATGTTGGCCCAAGCAGTGGTGTTTAGTTAAAGACGAGCCAGTTAGGAGTTAACACATTTCTTCTGTTTAATTAATTCCTCTAATGCCTGTGTGAGTGACTTAAGCCACAAAACATGTTTTTTTACTGAAGTTAATTCACTTGCTGTAGATTATTGTCCATCTATGTTGAAGTCTGTTGCCAGCTGAAGTAGATATCTTCATCCTGCCAATGGTACTGCTGAACTCCTCAAAACAGACAGTCAAAGGCCAAGATGCTTCATTTCTTCTCTTGATGTTATGCAAGAAAACACAGAGTGACCTTGTGATGCTTTAACACATGTGCAGACACTCCGAGTTGCATTTTTAGCCGAGTTTCTGTCAGAAATCCATTAAATCTCTCTGCCTTAGCAAATTCATATGCTGTTTATGTCAAATGTTGAAAAAGATTTACTTTAGATGTTGCTGCGTCCTGCGTCAAGACCATTGTGCTTACAATGCAAAGAGATTGATTTATAATGATAGGACAAAATGAGGAATGTTATTGTATTATTTCAATTGTTTTTGTTATTTTGTGTGGAGAAAGGATGGGTTGAAGGGACAAAACTTGAAAACTTTAAGAAGTACCACAGAATATTATGAAATTTGAAGTTTCCTTAAGCACATTTCACATTAAGAGTCGAAGATGTTTGAAAAATTAGTGTTGGTGCGTGAAGTGGTCTCCGTTCTGTAGCCGCAACATAAAACAGATCTGTTTTGCAAAAGTATTCATATCCTTCAGTTTGTCCAACATTTGTCATGTGTGAAAGGGCAGCACAAAGTAGTGCAAGTGATACAATATGAATATGAATCTTTTATACAGTTATGAATAAGTGTTCTTTTTAATTACAGATGCGGATCTGAAAAGTGTGGTGTGCACTTATATACAGACCCCTGGATCCATTATTAATAGAACCACCTTCCATGCGTATATAGATGCTAGTCTTCCAGTCTCTGGCAGCTCACTTTCCCTTTTCCCTGTTCTTTCTTGTAGAAGCTGAAGCTGCAGATGGGAAGCAGAACATCTGTAAACATCACTTTTTAGCATTGCTAGCTCTTGGTTTAGCTTTATGTCTCCACCAGTAGAGTAGAAAATGTGTCTCCGGGGCCATTTGTGAGCCTTTGATTTTATGTGACCTTCAACCACCATTCAACTGTAGCACAGCTCTGGTTTGCTAACTCAAGTACTTGATGCAAGGATGCATTTACAAAAATATTTTAACTGATATATAGCCTTTTAAAATTCCTAAAATTGATAATTTAAGGTGCAACACATAGAATTAATCTTCTGTCAACCTTATTTTTATGTTTTCTTTGATTAAATTTGATGTTAGAAATGACCACAGTGACATTTACTGGGATGCAGACATGGAGGCACATACTTATTGAGCTCAGTTAAATGAAACAATAATGAGCTTTAGCTGTTTTTTGTTGCTGAAAATACAAACAAAATAAAACCTGAATAAAACCTGGCCAAAATGAATCAACCTCAAGAAATCATTATTGATTGATTGAATGAGGTCCAATATTAGGTCTCACAAAACAGCTCTCAACTGTTAACAGACCTTTTATATATGAGCAGCAGAGGGCTGAATACACAGGTAATCCGCACTTTTTAAATAAATAAAAAAAATATTCTGAGCACAATTTGCTGCTTACATAAAATTACAAATATAAAAATTGTGGTCATAAAGCATCAAAACATAAAGAAGTAGTTTGATGTAAATATGTCTACAAATTCCTGATTAACTGTTCAGGTATGAAGGTAAATTATGCTTTTATCTCTCAGTTTGCAAAAGTACAAGTTTTCAATTTAGCAACATTCCGACTAAAAAAGCTGTTTTGTTTTTTAGCGTTCTGCATCAAGCAGCAGTTTTCAAACTGTTGGATATCTTTGATTGTGGTACATCAGGCTTATGACACATTTACATCCAGACAGAGTTTCCATCCTGAATATGAATCTCCTGTACCTGCATATGGGACAAGCAGGAGGATGCAAACATTTCTTCCTCTCTGCTGTTACACTCCAGTAAATATTAGTAGATGCTGTTAAGGTGCAATGTCCAAAAACAGAAAATCTGAAGCTTTTTAGTACAGCAGAAAAAAAAAAAATACTCAATTATATTCAATTCCTTCATAGACCTTTTTAAAATAGATCAAATATACACGTTAGTTACAGAAACATTGCTACTGCTGAACTTCAGTTTAAAATTTCTATTCATATGTTGAAAAGAACAGAAAAAGGCTGATAATACCAATGAAATCTCATTAAAATGTCATTAATATTTTGACCTTTTTATTTAAACTTGTGTCTCTGTCAGTATTAACATATTTAATTTATTTATTAGGACTAAGTTGTCTAAAAATATAATTGACAATTTTAATTTAACAGAAATTTAGGTAGAGTTAGGGTAAAATGCTCTCCATGTTTGTGCACATTTAAAAAAAAATACATTGTTTTTTTTTACAAGGTTAAATAGGGCTTACTTTATATTTGAAATAATACATATTCGCTACTTTAAAATAGTATTTTAAAATATTGAGTTAAGATCTTCCTTTTAGTTTTGTTATTGTATTATTTGTGCATTTACTTCTTTTAAAACAAGTATAAATTATTGTACTAGTGTTTTTATTTTTAAGTGTATCAATAACTTATCGTTAAGCTCTGTTGCTGATTATTTAAGTGATGTAATACTATTGTATTCAACAGACATCTCTGTGAGATACTGAGGAACGATTCAATAAAGTTTCACATTGAAACCTTTTCATCAGTTTCCGCCTTGATTTGTTTTTCTTGCTTCGTCTGACTCATACACTTCACCTTGAGATGGACTTTATTTATATTTTTTAATTAGTCTGAGGAGATTTCTGCTGGAGCGCAGAGAGAAGTACTCCACATGTGCTGAGTAAGTATCCTGCAGGACTGCAGAGGAAAAACGATAGAGTGAAGGTTCCCTCGGGACAAACAAACACCAAACAAAATATCATTCTGCAGCAGTTGCCTTGGCAAAGAGATGATCTTTTTATTCTGAATGGCTTTCACAGCCTTCTGTTGGGCAGATGAATGCTTGTTGAGAGAAAAAAACCTAACAGAATGCAAACCAGGCTAGTTCTTATAAAGAAATACACTACACTAACTTGAAGGTTAGATTAAATGTGATTTAATGCACATTGATAAAATGCTTGGGTTCATTTATTTTCTTGAGGCTTATAGTTCACAGTTCTTTCTGAAACAAACCCATTCATGCAAACCCCATCATTCTTTACTTTTACCCAGGAAGTTGTAATCTCAACATTTTCTGATCGATATTTGCTTTGTTGATTTACTTGGCATATTTTCATTTATTTGCATAGTATTGGATGCCTGTGGCTTAGTGTGGTGCATAGTTTTTGCATTGTCCTGCACAAGGTGTGTATTATTCAGTTGACATCTATTGAAGGTCCTGACTGAAACCCCAGGGCACCGCACAGCATATCACTTATTAGCCTCTGCTCAAAGAGATTTTGTTTAAAAACTTGTAATCTCATTGTGTTTGTCCGGTTTTATACACCACGGTGCTTTAAACTCTTAGCTTCCTGTCAAAAAACTGAAAAGTGACACGATGGTTATAATGACCAATCACAATTAGTCGTTTGAAAAATTTTGACTCCAGATGGTTTTGCTCCATTTAGAATAAAATGGGAAGAATATTTTTCTTTGGATGGCATGTAAAAGAATCAACTTTTGCATTATGTTTTCCTGATGAAAACAATAACGTGCAAACATGTCTATATGAAACTCCAAGAACTGTAAAAGACTTCTCTATCAGACACACAGTGTTGCTCATAAGTTGTCATATATGCACATATAATTTCATAGTTTTCCAGCAGAGAGGAAAAACTATGAAATTATATTATATAGGGATTTTGTCATCCATAGTTAAATGAGAAAATGGCAAATAGAATGAAACAAAGCAACAGGCACAAATGAAGTGAAGCAAACGCAGAATCAAACCAGTGAGTGAGACCATGCAATGCCACTGTGGGCATAAAGCCACTAAATCAGGAAGAATATTTATTAAAGAGTAACACATGTACTAATTATCAAGAGTGATGTTAATATGACACTGAGGAACAGTGTTGGGGATGAATGATAAGTTAGAGGAGTACAGAAACCAGGAACAATTTTATTTCTGGTTTATTGTAATTTAATGCGCAATATTTGGCACATTAAATTACATGCTTATGAGTCTTTTTAATATTTTTTTTTCTTTTAATCAAAAATCCATTTTGTTGCAGAAATATAACTGCATATTTTTGAGCACAAGGGAAAAATGTCCCTCATAATATATATTATTTTAAAATATTATAAGGATGAAGTGGATGAAATTATTGATCAAAATATATCTAAATATCCCCTGCAGGCAAAAATACTTAAGTTTACATCAGTTTCTATCAAATGAGATAATGTGAGCAGTGGATCCAGAGTGAAATCAGCAAACTGTAGAATATGCACACATTGTCTTGTAGTATCTGCCCTAGATGTGACCAAGAAGCAGGAGCTGGAGCTCCCTCGTGTCCAGAGGACTGCACCAGCAGTCACGATTCAGTTCTAATAAAGTCAGCATCGTGTCAGCTGACAGAAACCCCGGAGAGAACAGGATTTGTCACAACAGGGAAATAGACAAAATGCAGGTATTTCAACATGGTAGCTGCACTGAAGTACCATCTTCTATGAGATGTAATACACTGATCAGGCATGACATTATGACCAGCGACATATTAATAAATCTCATTCATATTTACCTGTGTGATTTTTGTTCTCTGATGTTGATTGGCACAACAACACACTAGGCTGTCCCTCATTAATGTCCAGTCATGGTAACAGAAGAGTCTGTGACAAAAGCTGTCTGTGTATCACATGTTAACGCTTTCTTAACTGGTTAGAATCACATTGCTTTGTTTTGGTGTAGAGCATCAGTTTGGGATGAAAAAATAAAAAGCTAATCAAAACCCAGAATGAGAACAACTCAAAGGTCACATATCTGTCTTCTTTACAATTGCAATAAACTTTGTAGTTGTTAAGTTCTACAAGTGTGAATATTTTTTATGGTTTCTGTAAAATCCTTCTTCAAAAAATTGAGTCACTCAAGAGTCTGAATACATGCAGAGTTCAGACTCAGATCCTCCATTGTTTTCTGTTTACTTTTGAAATAATTTACTGGAATGCTATCTGGGTTGTGAGATTTATTTGTTGTGACACCAGCTGTGATTATTACCTAATTTATAGATGGGATGCTTGCTTTTAGTATGAGGTTAAAGTTGCATGTAGATCATAGTGATCCCAGTTGTGTTAATGTGATCAGTTTCACACTTTGTTTACAACATGCACTGTTGCCCAAAGACATTCACTGCTCATGAGGTCAGATTGTGTAGTGTTTGATAGTGAGGAACTGTATAATGGAGAAGCTCTGTACATGTGGTAGAACTGATTAACCAGTTAATGTGTGCCTGGAACAGCACCAAACGTCAGCGCTGTCGCGGTTGATGATGAAGCTCTTTGTTTGCTGGTTTTGAGTCTCTGCTGAGAAGGATGGGTTGTGTTGAAAATCCTTCTGTCTTCAGATTTTCTTCGCTGTTTGTCAACCAGCTGCTGTGGTCATGTGATCTGTGGAGGTTTTGATGCAACTAGCAAGTTGGAATCTGAAGTTCATGGTTGAAAATCAACTTTGATGAATGCCAAGATTTGGGAAAATACAGTTAAAATGCTGCAGGAAGTCATTCATCTTAAGCTTAGTAAATATCACCATATTACTGTTAGTAAACATGGTATTGTTTATTATTGTTTATTATGTAGATTATAACTCTAAATTTAGAGTTATAACTCTGGAGTTATATCTCTAAATTTAGAGTTATAACTCTGGAGTTATAACTCTAAATTTAGAGTTATAATCTATTATGACAAATACTATTGTAAAGATGCTTTGGTTTAAAATGGGGTCTTCCAAAAAAAAAAAAAAAAACCTCAGTATTTAAATCACAGAATACCTCTTTTTTTTGCATCTGCTGAATTCATCTACATCTACAGTTATCAATGAAAACAAATTTTATTTGCGTTCAACAACAATTTAAATATGAGAACTGATTATTTTTGCAATGAAATAACACGCAGCCTCATGCAATATAATTTCTTCCACATAACAGTTAATGGAGAGATCTGCTGAAGCTTCAGGTCAGAGGTCACCAAGGTAATGGTCAGATTGTTCTCAAACTGAAGTCAGTTGGGTTCTCCACATGCTTCTGTAGAAGCCGTTTTTATCTTTGTCTGACTTATTTTTAGAAAATTAAAAACTCTTCAAGAAAACTTCACATGGTGAGTAGTTTGTCCAGTAGGGGGCGTCAGCTGAGCTGGTGCTGCAGATAACTCCATGTTTTTCTTCTATAGGTGATCCACTGGGTCCTGTGTTAAAGTGTTTTTCTGATCCCTGGGTGGTTGTGGTTTCTTCCAGTTTTCCCAGCTGGTGGTCTGTGTTCACTGATTGAACAGAGCAGCTCTGTATAAGAGCTCCCTCTTGTGGCAGAAAACTGAGTTGCCAAATATTAGCTGTTTTATTCCAGTGTTACACATTTGTCGATGAGGTGCTGTGTATTGTGTTTGGCACTCTGTCTTTGAAGGGCCCTTCCATTTCTTGTGTGAGCTCCTTCCTGTGGCAGAACTGAAAATTCCAACACAGTGTAGAGGGGGAGAATTTTATGTTGCTGTTTTATAGCTGGTCGATGTTCAGTGATTGAACAAAGAAGTCTCAAATTGTTGAAATTTGCCTACCCACTATATTTGAAAGTAGCCATAAAAATTGATTGGAACAGGACTGCAGCTGACTTGACTGATGATCTTCTGCTTTTTGAAGGCTGGTAAAATCAGCTCCAGTGATCGTTAGGTGAAATGCTTAACATGGTTCTTTGTGTTTGTGAATGTGTTGTTGTTGTTGTTTATTATTTGTAACTCCTTGTAGTTTAATACTAATTGAATAAAGAGTGGTTTTTGTTCAAGTCAGTTTTGCTTTGGTTTTTACTATAAGCTCTCCCAGTGATTCATTTCTAAATTGTACTGGACCTTCCACAAAATTGAGTCTCTATTTGTCCATTTTAAACACATTTGAAAATTTATATTTCTTGGTCATTTCTGGAATTCATCTTCCTATTCTTTTCTTAGACTTACAGTATTACTCTGTCAAAGTGCTGCCCAATCTCCTTTGACTTAAGCCTCCTGTTCTGCTGGTGAAATATTCAGCTTTAAATATGTTAAGCAACTGGAAGAACCAGAGCTTGACTCGCAGCTTGTGGCTAATCCTTTATTCATGGAAATCTCCTGAGAATGGCAGCATTCAAAGCCTGCTTCCCTTCCTTTCTCCTGGGCTGTGCACATTTTGCAGCAGCATCCTCAGCTCATCATTATCAACACACAGCGCCTCCTGTGGGTCAGTTGCCAGGAACTGCTCGGGTCGCCTGATGAGCATGAGGTGAGCTGACATTTGCTGAACCCAGCACTCTTTATTTTTAGGGTTTTATTTTTAGGGTTTCATCCTCAACCCAAACACATACTGCCAGCAGAAGTCAAATGTAGATTGGATTGTTGTGGAGCCTTTGCTCCCCACTCCATGATTTGTTTTTCACGTTGAAAGCGAGTTGGAGGTGGGGAGGAGCTGACAATAATTTTTTTAGGGGTTCTTTCTCGAGGTGCAAGCTGGGAGACGTGTCAGAAAAGTGACACTGTGTGGACTTGAGC